TCCACTATGAGCCGAGAAAGAAGTGGGTGAAATTTTTGCATTGTCTCGGTCATCATTACTAAAATCATTAATATAAACAGCATAGTCTCGATTATCCACTTTTTCTGATTTAATTATCTTTGGCCGTTAGCGGCATATAGGAATCTAATCCAGCCTACATCGAAGGCTAGCCTTGACATCGAGAGTTTATTATGGTCTGGATAAGTTAATTGATGTCTAGTTGATAATTTAGATAACATTTCAGGCCTAAAGAAAGACTTGTAATAAGCAGATTTTGCTCTTGCATAATGCATGTTTAATAATTTAGATAACATTTAAGACCCAAAGAAAGACCTGCAATAGGCATATTTAGCTCTTGCATAATGCATGTTTAAGGGATCAATGTATCATTTACATGTAGCGCTAATTTTTAATCTCTAATAGGAATATCAGTCCATAAATGGTACCATTCCATTTAGTATTTACAAAGTTATGTTGAACCGATCTTTCATTCTATGCTGTTCGGTATGTAATATAAGCCAACCACCATTTTGTTGTTCAACTTAATAGTTCGGCATGTTTTAAATCAGACTGAATTCAAGCCGGGAGATTATCTAGCGTTGGTATTTTAAATTTTTTTTGTCTTAATCAAATCTTAATGTTAAATAATCAATCTGAGTATATTTTTAGCATGGATAAGTTGTGAGACATTTTAGTGAAAATGCATATCATGACGCATCAAGCCTTTCAAAAAATGAGTTTTGTATTACATTTTAAATGGAAACTAAAGAAAGTTTTGAGTGTTTGTTGAAGGTTTTCCGGCAACCATATCAGGTGCTTAGATAAATCTAATGTAATCAGTTTGTCAAATAACATTGCCCTATTTGTTTAACAACAGTTTCAATTCTTTTAATTCACCCCCACTGACAAAAACTGCCATTATATCAATGTTCTTCTTTTACTTTATTTACAATACAGTAAATCTTGTAACATAACAAAAAGTATATTTGTCTAAGCTTATTCATAATTAAGATGGAGGCCAACTTTTTTGTAAATTGTAAACAGTACAAGTATAACACAGTGTTGTCAGATTCTCAATTAAGCTTACAGCCAACCGCAGCATTTTAATGTTGGCTTTGGGGGATCATGTGGCTATGCTGTATGTACATGTAAGTGGGTAAGACGCTAGCTCGCTAGCCTGGAGGTCGGGTGTTCGATCCCTGCATTGGCCGAGAAGGTTCATCCAGATTTTCCGGCGTGGTTCTCCCTTGTCAGTGATGCAGGACGGAGGGGCTCACAAGGACAGCTGTCTAGTCGTTCGGATGGGACAAAAAACAGAGGTCCCGTGTACACATTGGCGTGCACGTAAAAGATCCCTTGACAGTTGGAATTCGATATAAGAGTAGGCCGTAGTGCCGCTGTCCGGGCAAAATTTCCCTCATAGCACACTGTATGGCGTATGCCCGTCTTCATTAGCCCAGGTTAGGAGCAGAAAAGTAGGATGTTAAACTCCATTTCATTTCATTTCATAATGTTGGCTTTAAAGGGTAGTAACTATGCAAAAATTGATGGATTTTTTGTGCTTGCGTTATCATCGTGATCTGATGTTGTTACATTCCAAAATGCAAGATTCAAGTGTATCTCTCAAACAAGATTAACATGATCAGTTTATAAAAGCGTTGTGTTTCCATTGTGGCTCAGTATGTACATGTATATATGTATAGTAGTTACCGGTATACTGTAGGAGAAAGAGTGAGAGAAATGGGGTTTAACGACAAGGACGTTACACAAACTAGGTTATTTAAGGACTAGCATATGAATCAATTTTATTTCAATAATTCATTTGTGCATAGGGGTCGTTAACAGTGGGAAGAAACTGGAAGACCCAGATAAACCTTGAGGCTTAATCATGGAACCCTATTATACAAGCTGGGAATTAAAACCATGCCACTTTAATAATTCAATTACAGACCTAATGATCTAAAGCTCATGTGTTAGGCCACGACCCCCATCCCATTATTATGTACTACTTGGAGTGGATAACCTGGCAATGTGTGGTTATGCCCGTAACCCCGAAATCCTTGGTAGGCCAACGCCACCTAGCTTATGTTACTCCCGGTCCGATCTACCCCTATACACCAAATTTCAGCCTTGGGACAACCCTAGTGTAGCCGCCAACCCAGAACAGACAGACAAACGACAGTCACAAATATAAGTATAGATTAAGACTTAACAGTAAACCTGCTATTATTATCAACTGTGTTCTACAAATATACATGTAATATGATGTATGGTACCAATACTAGAATACACAAAAAATTATCTACCATGTTTTGTCTGTCACAAGTGTAACAGATGGCATGATAAATGAATTGTGATAATGTTATTAACAACACACACATCTACACTAGATGTGCCATGTTTTAAAAAAAAAACACTGCATGTTAGTTACTTCATACTAGTACTGTTTTCAGTGCTTTACACAGCAATGAAAGTTGTAAAACACATTCTACTAAATACATGTATCATTCTTATGTTGTACAGCATGTATATACTATAGGATACTGCATCTTGAAATGCTGATAAAAAAAAGTTTTATAGTTCACGGCCTGTAACGCAGTTGATCACCAACAAATAACAAAGTTTTTAAAAAACAAAATTCTTATCATAGAATATTGTTTAGTTTATTTATCTATATTGAGCAATGATCAACAGGTATTTGTCAAGTACCCAGTACAAGAAGGTCAATAAGTCTACAAATTACTGTGAGTCACAACAGAAAACACTGTTACTGTTAGTGATGACATTAAGATATGGTTACCATAATAATATTTATTAAATAAATTTTATCTTACAAATAAATCGACTTTTTCTTTCCATGTCATGATTTTGGGAGGAAAGAAAACTTAACTCACATTTTTTAAAAAAAAAATAATGACAAAGAAAAGAGTCAAAGCATTTGGTTTGACTTTTCGCTATTTTCAGTCATTTAAAGCATTTTATCAATCTGATTATAATACAGATCTATATTTCGTTTTGTTTTTTTATACTATCGATGGCCTACACTACATGAAGATCTGACAAGTTATAGCGATAGGTCACGTCAGGGGTCAAAAGACCGACTTATGACCCTATGACGTCAGACATTTGATTAACCAATCAGCATTGATGTTACTAATGGATTACCCACAGTTCCGTGAAAAACATGCCTAAAGCTCGCCATAACAGACCGTTTCATTGGCTTATCCCCAACACCATTCAGAACACGAGTTAAATAACAACTCTTCCAGGTCCAAGTGTAGTAAAGACAAGTAAAATGAAATTTTGAACTATAGAAACGAAATAGGATCTGTGTTTTAACCAGATTGGCATTTTATTTGACTTTTCACAATTTTCAAGTCATTTAAAATCCACACTGACCTAGTAGACTCTGCTAGCAATCAAATAAGGAAGCACAGAGATGACGAACTGATGTGTACACATTTACTCTACAGAGTGGGCCCCACTAGACCACAGAGGTTTTTGCTAAATACCTATATGACTGAGGAAGGGGGCCTGGCTTTTGTTGTATTTACTCTAGGAATATGTATCTAATTGTACCTCTTTATTGTATTATTCATTCTGTCTTTTTTGGGTGATGCAATTATCCTACATGGTCTATTATACTAAAGTATTAGAAATGATACCAATTGTTCTCAGTTATATTTTGCAATCTAGCTGTTTAAAAAAACATAAACCAACAGTATGATAGAACATACTTTTACCAGTACATGAATAGAACATCAAAATATAAAATGTCAAAGTCAATTAAGTTGTCAGCTTCGTGAAAATAATTTACATCACCATCTCTTTACTACTGAAATTTAGAATCCAAGCTTAGTACCATACAAATGTATGTTATCATATGTTTATATTTTTAGTGTATATATTTTAGATATCAATAGAAAAGGCATCAAACCATAAAAACGGAACATAATTTTCATCCTTTTTGCTGATTTACTTTTTAGGAAATACTACATGTATTACAATTATATTCCTTTATCAGATTTACTTTCTAAACACTTAGGATTAGTAACACACATGTATAAATTAGTATATCTGGTAAGCTTATAATATAATAAACACAGAAACATAATATGGAATATTAATTAATTAAGGTGAAGTTTCTTTGAGGGTTCTCTCAACATTTTCAAGCTTTTATTTGTAATATATTTAGTTTTCAATAGACTTCTATAAAAACTGAATATATTTTTCAGCATTTGTATTACTATTTTTTGTTCTCATTTTTTTTTTGGGGGGGGGGGGGGGCACTGTTACAAATTGCAGCTAATAGTAATACAATAAATGTATATCCAGCTATGTTAATTACTATCTGACTGCAATGAGTATAATAATAAGGGAGGTATACATAATAGACACATTTGTGAATCACAATGTGTATTACTATACATACAACTGCCTTTATTTACATGGAATATTTACATTTTTTAAAAATGATTTACTTATCCCATTAAAAATATCTCAACTTCAAGTATTGGCAAAAGACCAATTTCTAAAAGAGGTATATTCCGACATGTAATAAAAGAGACAATTTGGGGGTGATTAAATGCAAAATCCAAAGAAACAAAGACAAAATGTGTTACAATGTTGTGTATAGACTGTCTATGACTATACAAAGCTCAGCTCGTGTGTATATTCTCAATAAATCAAAGAATTCATTACTATACTTCGGTATTATTCTTAAATACCAGAACTGAAAATACGATAGGCTTAGTTGCACAATTATATTTTTAAAATCATAAATTTAAGTCCAAACATATTATTAATGAATTTATGTGCATCTACATTATGAAGAGAAGCATCAATATTTCATATTCCGACCATTTATAATAAATAATCATGTGTAATGGAACCGGACATTCCACGCAAAAATAATAAATTATTTTAATGCTAATATATTTAACAAATCATCGCCCGCAAAGAATGAAATATAGACATGCTTTATGCGGTCTAATACCTACCCAAAAAATATTATTTGCTGTTCTATTAATCCAGTGATGTTTTGCTATTATAGATTTACACCACACTGCCGACTTTGTCATCGCCACATTTGCATAGCCTAACAACTGCTCTTGAATATATAAATACGCTTTCCGGAAAATAGGACACTAAAATAAAGTCATATATTAGCGTATTTGATCATCGGCTAAGAATAATATTGATGATGTCGTTGACTGACTTTAGCTGTGAACAATAGCATTATAAACGAAGGATATAGGCGTAATTTGAAAGCTAATTATTTACGGGTATTGTTTCGCCTGGGGCACAATACTGGATCTTCAATGAGTTACTTTCTATTTTTCACTCGGCAACCGGCTGCAGATTTCACTCGGCCAACTTCGGTTACTCCTCTACACCAAACCATGTTTCCAAACAGAGTTATCTTTCCGTGACCCGCAAATTATATTTTTAACTGGTTTGCTTTTGGCGCAATATTCTGATGTTTAGGCTAACACTGTTTTTAACGGCGTCAGCTTCTTATATTTATTGGGCTACAAACACTAAACAGTTGTCTTTTATTTTCTGAGGAGATTTTCTGACCTGGGTAATGTAAATGAAGTTTGTTACTTTATAGTAGGCTATAAGTATTTGACTAAAACTGCATAAATCAAATCTTAATCATAGATGTACCGATTGTAAATAATTTTTTTTGCTGACGAAGTCTTTTCTAACTTTTGGGGTAAGACTACTAACTAAGTAGCCTACATTGAAATTAGTGCTAGTACAGTAGAAGTGGTCTTGGCGTCGGGTAATCGATATGAAAACAAGTCTACATTATAATTAGGCCTAGATATCTACCTTGTCCGACTTTATTTCAAGCATTTTATTTATACCCCTTAAGTTGTAGTAGTGACAGTTTAACTACAAGTAAGTACAACAGCAACCAACAGGGGGTCACAGTATCGTGACTCGTGGACTTGTCAGGAGTATAACTTGAGCCTGAGAATGATCAATGAGATACACACAAATGGATAAGTCTGATAATCAGTTAATAAATCAGATGAAACTTGTAAATAAAGGCACTGTATGACAGTGTATGTAGGCCTACATATGATATATATTCTAAATACTAATAAATAGGCCTAGTAGTATTGTTTTATTAATATTACCTATTTATTAATTAATAGGGTTTCAGGTCAAACTCAAAGTTTCAAATGATCAAAACGCTCTATATACCAGTCAATGCGTGGGATGGCACCAAAATAAGTGCTTTTCTGTCATATTTGAGTGACGTCATGAGTCATAAGCGGTATTTTCCCTTCAGAATCGCTATACTGGCTAGGCCCTATAGTACCAATTTTAAAACTGAATGAAATCCGCACGTTATTGTCAGCTAAGATTTATTAAAATCATAATTATATATTATAGATCTAATTTCAAATATTATACTTAACTAATAGAATCAATTAAGCTTTTACTATCTAATATGTGAATTTAGGGTAGTTACATGTTTCTATTTCAGTGTTCATCAATAGTGGTTTTGATTTTTCACTTGGATTGGTGGAAGAAGGTACCATACAATACTATACTACTGTACTGTGTTAGATTGTTCAGCGTAAATTGGTTTCAAAGACCTTTCCAGTACGCCACGGTATTCAGTATAATCTAAGGAAATTAAAACAGGTGAGCAAGTTACATTGTACTCAAATATGGCTTTACAAAATACTAATAGTACTAGTAGAATTAATCTCTCATTGCCTAACAAAATTCTGCCTGTTGTTATATGTAGAAGCTATATTATCAAACGAAACATAACAAATATTAAATTCTCTAGATGTGAAGAGTCAAAATACATGCCTCCAATTAAAGATTTGGATCAGATTATTGGGTCTATACAAAATGACAAAGACTTTTATATAGATTTGCCATATGGCAATTTCACTTTGGGAGAAATAAAACGTTTTCGTGATTTTTACATTGCAAAAAGAGTAAGACAAGGGTTGGAAAATGAAAACAAATATGTTTTGAATTGGCAACCCTTATTTACACCAATAGATAATATCAACTTTGAACAGGTTGTTGAATTAAAAAACATTCTCCTGAACAATACAGATTCTTTCAAACCTAATATTCCTGGTAATTATCAGTTGTCAGTATCTGAATTAAAAACTCTGCTGTGTGATAGATGGCTAAGCGATTCAGTGATTGAAAAAATGATTGAACTGTTGAAAGATCGTATATCTGACTCAGATTATGTTGGTTATTTAAATTGCATCCATGATCTTAAAAATTTAGGTTCAAGGCTGTATGCTAAGTATCCTAATATCACTAAATTTGTTTTTGTTCTCTGTGTTAAATCCTTAACACACTCAAGTACTGGTGAAACAATCACATATTTAGCTGGGAAAGATATAAATATTGAAACCGGAGAACAAATCATCCATGGGAATCATTTTTCTTTCTGTGTATACGATGTAGTTATTAATAAAGTCATTTATATTGATACATTAGGTTTAGCTATACCAGATAGTTTAATGTTCAATTTAAACAACTTTATTAGTGGCTATAATTCATGTTTAATGAACAGTTTAAGTGTGGCAGAAATACAAATAGCACATAGTCCTAACTTAAATGGCTATCCTCATAATGCATGTCAGGAAATGTGTTATTTATATCCAAAACAGACTTGTGGTTCAGTATGTGGACCATCCGTTATAGTGGGAATAACAGTACTTTTACTTCGACAAGATATTTTTAACGCTCAGTCGCATGATTATTTAGGGTGATAGGGTTATTTATTTTGGAATAGCATATTATTGTATTTTAAAGGTGTTATCCCTCGGGTCCTAAAAACGCCTTTAATTTATGGTTTCTGTTATTCTTAAATAGATATTGTTAGGGACCTCATGCTGGTGGATCAGTCGCATGATTATTTAGGGTGATAGGGTTATTTATTTTGGAATAGCATATTATTGTATTTTAAAGGTGTTATCCCTCGGTCGAAGCTCTGGTCCTAAAAACGCCTTTAATTTATGGTTTCTGTTATTCTTAAATAGATATTGTTAGGGACCTCATGCTGGCGGATCAGTCGCATGATTATTTAGGGTGATAGGGTTATTTATTTTGGAATAGCATATTATTGTATTTTAAAGGTGTTATCCCTCGGTCGAAGCTATGGTCCTAAAAACGCCTTTAATTTATGGTTTCTGTTATTCTTAAATAGATATTGTTAGGGACCTCATGCTGGCGGATCAGTCACATGATTATTTATGGTGATAGGGTTATTTATTTTAGAATAGCATATCATTGTATTTTAAAGGTGTTATGTCTCGGTCGAAGCTCGGGTCCTAAAAACGCCTTTAATTTATGGTTTCTGTTATTCTTAAATAGATGTACGTGTTGGCGAGGGGGTACATTAATAATTATATGTTTTTGTAGTACATGTTCCTTGTTTTATAATAAAACTACGCCCTTTCATTTTTCAGAAGAAAAGTATAGAAAATATTTCCAATTATCTATCTTGAGGTAAATCAGTTTATTATTTTCATTAACAGTTCTTATTTTTGTAAATTTTTATGAAAATCAACTACTTGTCATTGGAGTGCATCTCAAAATTCACTTTCCTTATCTACATAAAGTTTATGTAATAAGTTATAGTGTGTAAATTTGAAGTAAGTTCATATGTTTTTTTATTAATTATTTACAGATCACAGAGATTGAATGCTGCAGGTCTTGTGTTTAGTGTATAGACTAATTGGTGGATGTTATTAACATTAACCTTTTAGCAAAGTCTAGCTTGATGATGTTACTGACTTTGCAGTGTAGTGGAAGATGTTAACCTAACTTTGGTAGACAACAAGCCTAACCCTGAAGTCAACGATGTACAATATGTCAGTGTCACGGTTCCACTACCAAACGTAACGCGAATATAAACAATACTTACGGGTACATGTATTTACTTTGATTGAAATGAGGTCAACTTAAAAATTTGTGTAGATGTGTTATTTGTTGTGACAGTTATATCCATAAAAGTTATATCCATAAAATGTAAATTGTATTTTCTCTATATTAGTATAACAGATTAAACGAAATAACATTATTTCACTCATGACTTGTAGTCACCCACCATCGTAGAAGTGTCAACATATCGAGAACACGCATTCATGAACCATGATTAGTTGGGACAAATTAATAATGAGGAATACTGTTTTCAAAGGCCTTAAGACAGGAAAGTGGTTATTGGTCACAACATTCATGTGTCACTGCAGGGGAGGGGGTGGAGTCAAATGATAATGCATTCGTGTTGGATAATAAGGTCTGTCATTTAGTGAAGTGGCTTAGCTTCGTTTCCAAGAGTAGGGTCGACTGCATTCCCACTGTTAAGATTTCGAGAAACAGGGCCCAGATTCTCACATCAGATACTTGAACCACAGAAAAGGTTACCTTTCAGAAAATTGGCTCTGTAGCCTAAAACTGAATCACCTATCTCGGTTCAGAGCAAAGCAATCTGACTGAAATTTCAGCATTTTCTGTTTCTATTATTTATTGTTGAACTATTATAGCGAGAACTGTCAGCTCTTATCTAATCTTACCCAATGGCGCCAATGCCCCTTTAAAATGCCCCTTATAAATCTAGTTTAGAATCCAAATATTTGTCTAAACTTTAGACAGACCTTATGATCTACTAGTATTCTCCAGTTGGTCAATTTCACTGCAAGTCAGTCAAAACGGCCAAACATGACTGGCGAAAATAAGACAAATAAGGTTGGAAGTACCTTCAACACAAACCATGGCACTTGAATCAATGACAGACCTTATGATCTAAAGCATACATCAGACCACTCAACCACACAACTGGTAAAGACTTTAGACAAATATTTGGATTTTAAATTAGAAACAAAACCATACTGTTGAAGATGTAATTGAGACAAGACATTAGACTAGCACTTATATTTATTAGCAAAAAAAAGCCAACAATTTGATTGGTTTTAGTGCTTAGCCAATCAAAATTGAAATTTCTACTAAAATTTGGATTTGATCTTAGTTAAAATTTCCCTACTTTTAAGTTCTGGTAAAATGTCCTTATGTGTCGGAAGTTCTGATTTGTCGACTAAACGAAAGCGACCAGACTGTCCACCGTTGGCTTTGAGAAATGCGACAATTTTGATCGGTGACATACTTTGCGTTACAATGGTGTACATCTGATTTCTAGTGGAATGATTTATAAAGCGAACTGAAACGGGGAGGTTATACAGTAAGCCGTTAATCTGGCGTGTGATATGATGAGGGAAAGCAGGTCCAAACAGTAGATCTTTTAGCATTTTAACTTTTATGAATTCGTCTAGTCGTGCCTGGGCAGCTTTTAAAATAAATCTATCAGCATGACGGTAATGTGGTTTTCTAGGATATTTCTTCTTAGCCTGTGAATCTGTTACTTCTTCCTTCATTTCAACATCTGTGTCACTGGTCTCAGTTTCTGAATCAGTTCCCTCAGCTGTAGTAGCTGTAACGTTTTCTCCTGCATCCTCGGCAGCTTTCTTCAACACCTCCGCTTCTTTAAGCAACGTATCAAAACTGACAGATTCTATCACTTGATCAGGTTTAGTGTAAGCAGAAACCTGGAATGAAAAACGATTTACTAAGACATGATATCTAGGTTAACTTTAAATAATGGCATTCATCAATTAAAGGTCAAATCTGTGCCTAGCCAGGAAGGCATTTTTATGTGCAATACAAGAGCAGAACGAAAACCAAGGTGGCTCAGTACATGAGGTGCCAGCTCTGTGGATAAGCCATCGGCTCAGGGGTTAAGCCACCAGCTCAGTTGGTAAGACAATGTCTCAGTGGGTAAAGACCCACCTCTGTGGGTAAACCGCTGGCTCGGTGGGTTCTGACTCAGTGTGTAGGACACTGGCTCATTGATAAGAATCTGTTTTTAAGGCCGTCGTTCGCACTTCATTTGGTGAATTTTAACAATAAAATCGTTTTTGAGGTTTTATGATCATCTGCGAGTAACACTATTTAGGAACACATACCAGTCATTTTTTTTACAAAATTCTTCTTTATTTCTACAAAATTTGGTTCTGAATGATCCCACCCTTTTTTATTTTGCCCTAATAATTCCGCTAAAACTATTGATATAAATCTAAAAACAACAGGCATTTCATACGTGAAATACTCGGCTTCCGACCGGTAAACTGTCGCCATGTTGGATACTGTTAGAAAGCTTGGGATCCCCCCTATTGAAAGGAAATGACGTTTTATGGGGGTGTCTTGAAACCTTTCTTCTGTATTGAGATAAAAATAGCAAGCAAGAACAAGTTTTGCATACCTAATGAGGTTATTTCGAGAATACGTTATTTGATTGGTCGGTCACATAGGTCAATGGTGAAGTGTCCAATCAGAAGCGGGCAATCCTCTAGGTCAGGTCAATAGGCATGCGCACTAAGCTCATGTCCCAAATCAATCCTGGTTGCTATATTACTGAACCGTACGTCACTGTTTATCAATATTTTTGAAGATTTTCAAATAAAATGCGTTTGAAATTGTTAGATGACTAAATAAGTATGACAGACACTCATAATAAACAAAATGAAGATGAATATTCGTCTGCTAGACCTAGTAGTGGTATGGTTGCAATACCATTACCAGGTAGGCCTGCTGTCAGTGATTATATAGTTATGGTTGTTTTGAATAACATCTATTCCTATGTCAATGTTCGGTTGTAAATTTACACACAAGAAATAAAATAAGAAAATACTGTATATTGATAAGAAATACATTAGAAAATATATATATTAAAAGTCAGTTTATTAATATTAAATAAATGAATTGAAAAGATCGGCGTAAGTTGTTCTACTGAAATACTTCAACTTCAGTTGTTGATTTCTCAAAACAGTTTTTTTCTAGAGTTACCAATTTTAGTCATGCTATATCTCTGAAAGTTATTGTCAGATTTTCTTGAAACTTGGAATATAACTTCCTATATAATAACTTTGTGCAATAGGAGAATTTTATTGAAATCTGCAAAATAGTTCCTGATATATTGTTGCCATAGCAACTGTGACACGTGAAAGAATTTTGAAGTTAACATTAAAATGTGTATAACTTGCTTTCTAATTATTATTTTGTAATGAAACTTGCCTATTGCACAAAGGAACATGTCAGTAACCTCTCTGCTTAATTTTAAAACATTCTGTTGAATAGTTTCTGAGAAACTGGATGACTAAAATTATACGCAGAAATCCAAGATGGCCGCCGTTTCCATAGCAACAGGTACCCCCAGGAAAATTTTTCGGCCGTTTTTGTAATACTCAATGGATGTGTTCTTAGATGTGTAAGAATGGTGACTTTACCTCAATTATTAAAAAAACTGAAATTTTCTACTGTCCACCCCCTTAATCTGGCCAATGAAGTTCCTCAGGTTTTTCCAGCCTTTTTTCGTCTTGTTGCAAGGGCAAGATAGACTGGACAAGAAAAAAGGTCCCTTGTATAGCCATTGGCAGCATGTTGACGGAACGGGAAAAAAATGCACGATACTGGACATGAGATTCTACTCCTTGTCACATACAAGCTTGGCTCAAATTGATTCAAGGACATATCTTATGATCTAAAGGGCATGCATTAGACCACTAGACCAGCCCACCCATATATCAATCTTCTGGTGTTGTCACAGGATAACCCTGCTCAAGGGACAGGAACGTTGCTTCAGTGAAAGGGTGTAGAAATCCATGCTTGGCTAAATTGGTTTTTATACGCCCACACTGAAATGTGGACGTATATTGCCGTCGCCCCCGTCCGTCCGTCTGTCGGTACGTCCGTCGGTCCATCGTCCACAATTTCTTGTGAACGCTCTAACGCCAAAAGTTATCATCCAATTGTTTTAAAATTGATATATGTTGTTTTCATTAGTGAGATGAAGAAGCCTATTTAATTTCAATAACTTCCGTTTATTACGTCTAGAGTTATGGCCCTTGTTTCACTTTGTTGAACCTTGTGAACACTCTAATGCCAAAAGTTAACATACGATCTTTGTGAAATTTATATGCAATATTTATGTTAGTGAAACGAAGAAGCCTATTGAATTTCAACAATTTCTGTTTATTACGTCTAGAGTTATGGCCCTTGTTTCACTTTATTGAACCTTGTGAACCCTCTAACTCCAAAAGTTATCATCCGATCTTTCTGAAATTTACATGCATTATTTAAATTAGTGAAACGAAGAAGCCTATTGAATTTCAGCGATTTCCGTTTTTTTACGTCTAGAGTTATGGCTCTTGTTTCACTTTATTGAACCTTGTGAACGCTCTAACTCCAACAGTTATCATCCGATCTTTCTGAAATTTACATGCATTATTTAAATTAGTGAAACGAAGAAGCCTATTGAATTTCAGCAATTTCCGTTTATTACGTCTAGAGTTATGGCCCTTGTTTCATGTTATTGAACCTTGTGAACGCTCAAACGACAAAAGTTATCAACCGATCTGTATGAAATTTATATGCATCATTTAAATTAGTAAAACAAAGAAGCCTATTGAATTTCAGCAATTTCCGTTAATCATCTAGAGTTATGGCCCTTGTTTCACTTTGTTGAATCTTGTGAACGCTCTAATGACAACAGTTATCATCCGATCTGTTTGAAATTGATATGCATGATTTAAATTAGTGAAACGAAGAATCCTATTGAAGTTCAGCAATTTCCTTTAATTACGCCATGAGTTATGGCCCTTGTTTCACTTTGTTGTACCTTGTGGTTGCTTTAACGACAAAAGTTATTATCCGATCTGTATGAAATTTAAAGGTATCGTTTAAATTAGTAAAACGAACAAGCCTATTGAGTTTCAGCAAATTTCCGTTAATTACATCTAGAGTTATGGCCCTTGTTTCACATTGTTGAATCTTGTGAACGCTTGAACGACAAAAGTTATCACCCAATCTGTATGAAATTCATATGCATCATTTAAATTAGTGAAATGAAGAAGCCTATTGAATGTCAGCAATTTCTGTCAATTACTTCTAGAGTTATGGCCCTTGTTCTACTTTGTTGAATCTTGTGAACGTTCGAACGACAAAAGTTATCATCCGATCTGTATGAAATTGATATGTATTATTTGAATTAGTAAAACGAAAAAGTCTGTCGAATTTCAATAATTTCTGTAGATTACTTCCTGAGTTACAGCCCTTGTTTTAGTTTTTAGAACCTTGTGAACCCTCAAACGACGAAAATTATGTCATCTGTATGAAGTTGTCTATTAAATGCCCCCTAATTACCTACAAAAGAACAAATATACGACAACTCTTGTCGACCGCTCGGACGATTTAGCTGCTGTGGGCGTATGTTTAGTTGCCTGGCAACCTATCTTTATATAATGTAGGCCCTATTTAGCTCAGGAATCCATAGCCCTAAAGCTAATTCAAGTATTCAATAGAATAACTTACCTCTATGACTGGTTGTGTTTCTTAGAGCTTAAACAAGATATCAGCTGCTGCAAAATTTCTAGAGCCTATCTTACTAAGAGACACTGCAGGTTCGGTTCCAACATCTTCCTTTTGTATCTTCATCTGACATCTTAAAGTAAAAAAAGAGAGAAATGGGGATTAACACTCACACAAAACAAACCAACATTTTTGGACTGACACCCAGGAGGTTTGACTCAATGAAAGACCTTATGAGCTTGGACCACTCAACCACCCCTAAAAACAAAAGAAGAGTAACAAGCAAACTGAACATTTCAAAATTTTGATCAATGGGACAAGACTAGATCTTAAAGCTACAATTTCATATTTGTTAAGTTATATTTTTAAAATTTATTAAAATAAAGCCTTAAAATAGATGGTATCCATACACAGTCCTACCTTGTTAAAGAATAATCCTATTAATCCTATAATTCACTATTGCCAGCTGCGAAATTGGCAAAATTATCATTTTCGAATTCCAACATTTGAAGATAGCTAATGCATGGAGGCAATAGGAAAACAAGGGAGGTAATTGTGTTATTATTTCCTGTGTCAATGATTTTTAAGGGTGGGAAATAATGCCCATAGTCGTATAATAGTGAGTTGATAACCTATTGAGCAAAAGACATAGAAATAATTATGTTTTGACTTTCATAGAAAATATGAAATTCTGGCTTGAAGGCTAAGGCCAGGAAACACAGCCTAGGTCTTACAGTTAAGCCTAAGGCCGGAAGACGCAAGACTACAGTAGGTCTTAAGAGATTCAAGACTAGGTCTTAAGAGACACAAGACTAGGCCTTACAGTTGAGGCCAGAAGATACAAGACTAAGCCTTACAGTTGAGACCGGAAGACACAAGACTAGGCCTTAAGATTATGGCCGGGAGACCAGACTAGGCCTTAAGGCAACTTACCTGAATACACGATCATCATTGTCAAAAAACTCCCATTCCAACAACATATTGTTGACAAAACATGAATGTTGTAAAATATAGAAACCTTGAACTTTACGATCTACTATCCAACTGACGTCCTCAAAGTCAAAGACAACGATATCCTTGGCTGGTAGTGTTGATATAGGTTTTCGGGTCCATTGTAAGCGATGAAGATTCGAACAGTTATCTTCCAAAATGCAGTTGCCCTTGACACGAAAGTCGATAACATCTGTCAGTATATATTTCTTTGGCTATATTATAGTTTCTATATATATATAGCTCTGCCGAGGTTTTCCGGAATCTGTCGAAGTTTGCCGAGTGAAAAATAGAATTCAACTCATTGTTAAAAATATAATTTGCGGGTCACGGAAAGATAACTCTGTTTGGAAACATGGTTTGGTGTAGAGGAGTAACCGAAGTTGGCCGAGTGAAATCTGCAGCCGGTTGCCGAGTGAAAAATAGAAAGTAACTCATTGAAGATCCAGTATTGTGCTCGCCGGGGAGCAAATTCGCCATTTTGAGAAAATTGTCTATCCCCCTCTACGGCCCATTGAAATAAAAAAACCGAAGCACATGGCACGATAGTCAAATAGGTAAGCAAACGTCAGTCTAAGAGGTCGGTAAATTTTTGGAGAAAAGAAGTGTAATCATCTAAATTTGATTATTATTGTTTTCATTGTACGTACATATAAGATTTCAAAAATATAAAGTAGAGACACCTTCTTGTCCCCCAGTCTAATGTAGACAGGGGAATGAATGATGAGAAATATTTAATAAATATTATTATATTTTTCCCGCGTTTTTTGTTCCATAGACCATACCCCGAAAAATGCCCGTACGTCCAACACACTTGTTTAGGTTTTATGAATAAAAAAATATATTTTAGAATGGTATTTTTATATATATATTTATTTTAAACTTCTAATTCTTAAGCAGGATGTCCTTAATAAGGAAGGAAAAAAAGAAGAGTTGAACCATTTGCAGAGACAGTTTAGCCTAAGTCAAAGTGTATACATATTACACAAATGGCTTACTTTCCACAGGAGTTAAAACAGTACCTTTATAAATATAAGGCCATAGCCTTTAGGATAATTAACTTAAAGATTGACCCTCCTGTCCCATGTTAGGGTGACCCATGTACTCACAGAAATACAGTCCACCGCTGATAGTTCGAGACTACCACTGAAGCGTGCACATTTGCCGTGCCGAGACCAACTTACTGACAGTGGGATACTATAAATAGCCATGGCACGTGCAATTCTCTACAAATCTATTAACTATTACAGCCGTAAAAAATTTATTGTTGACGATTTTGAATAGCAGTAAGATTAAGCTTCTTGGTTATTACAGCAGATTTAGAAATTACGTTCGTTTCATTTTTTAAATCGCTTTATCATTAACTGTACCGTTAAGAGCGGCATCTTTTGGTTTAGTACAAATAATATCTCTGAATCACTCGGGTTAGACAGGAACATGATACTAACAGTAGTTTCATTTTACTTTTACAAGCTTCTTAAAACGATTGTTGAGCTACCTAACGTGCTTATTTCTAAATTCAATTTCTTGTTCTAGCTTTCTGTTGTGTTTCGTAAAAAAGTAGTCTTGATTATCCCGACCTGTCAATCAGACGTAGAATGGTCGATAGACTGGTTAAGCGAGACTTATTTCAAAACAAGCGCACGTAATCTATCTTTTACTCAAAAGTGTCTAGATGTTATGGACGACTCTTGGAACCAGTTTTCAGTCTATTATTTATACATGATTAATGGTCATAGCTTATTAAGTACAACATGATCGTTTATTTAGTGACTATAATTGTCTGAAACTGATTTGAGGCTTGGCATATATATAAATATTGTGGCGTAATTGTCGAGATATATGGAGATATTTATTTATGGTGGGTCACCCTACCCATGTTTGGCTAATAATATAGGCCTACCCATGTACAAATTTAAAGTGACTCTGCTTTCACTCAGTAGGCCTAACTTAAAATAAGTTAAAAGAAAAACCTTATACTTATAAAGTTAAATCAAATAGATTTTTCAATATAGGCCTATAAACTATTGAGACTGGCAATAAATCTAGACATGAAATTAATGTTGAAACCTACCCCCACCCCCTTTGGACTCGTCGAAATAAAGAAAAAAAACTGATACCTTTAAACTAAAGGCTTTGACATAGCTGCCTCTGTTTTTGACTTGGAAGATAGGGGCCTACTGTTATATTATAATGATAGATAAAATGTCTGGGTTCTGACAAATCGGATTTGCAGCTAAAAATACCATTTACTTAAATTTACTTAAAAGTTGAATCAGAATCCATTCAGAGGCATTTCGATTTTTAATATAATAGTCTACAGTTAAAAATTTTGACAGCTGGACTGTAGGCTACTCCTTAATGGTGGAAGTAGGACATATATAAATTGTACTTTCTTACATGTACATTCATACACTATATAAGTGTTTTTACTATATCAACTGTACTATCAATATACTTTGCTTGTTTTGTGCTTTGTGTTTGTGGATTGCCTCAATTCTACAAGTTAAATAGATCTATCTTATACTAATATTAAAATTATAATCATTATGGTTTAAGCTTACATTAGAATAATAATACAATTTTTTGGGAAATGTTCCAATTTTCCTGTTGCCTTCCTTATCGTGAGATTATTTTAGTTGAAGCCTGTATCAATGTGGGCCTGGAACTGTACAGGCCTGGATGCTTACGTCCAGCCCCTATATCGATACACTTAATACAGTTTTTCTGCATTATGTCGGTTGAATTTATTAGATTCAGTTTAAATCATTCAACATGTTATAGCAACATGTCCATAATTTATTTTTTTTCCAAATATTTGTTTGACTTGGGGGTGGTCATTTTATATAAAGCATCTTCTTTCCCGAGACTCACACACTTACGGCTAGCCCCCGAATCCATTCACCTAATTTGATATGTACGTTTGTTTGTGATTTCTGTGTATTGTGTTTTCTGTAGATTTGTTTTTGTGTAAATTATGTGTGGTGCTGTCCCCAGCACTTACTATTAATCATCCCTTATTGGATCTACAGAAAAGACAGCTTGAATCTGTATCAATAACATTAGGTTACTTCGACATCTTTTCCTTTTCCATTTTTCAATGTCGTTCTGTGGTTGATATACATGTAGGTTTAGATTTGAATAAATTTTACTTTCCAGAATTAATCAGAAACAAAAATGGATTTAGGCCCAAATGCCAGTTCAAATATGTTGTCGGACATGAGAGGTCTGAAACTGAACTTTGAAAACTTTGATGATGAAGTTTCTAAAGAAAGTAATGATTTGACAGTTGATGCAAGGTGATTAAAATGAATTTGTCTCCAAAACTAAAATATAACTTTAAGTTTACTTAAAGCAATCCATACACATTTTTAATATGAAAAAGGTGTTTGAGCAAATATGTGATCATTATCTAAGACTGGTTATAAAAAGTATTTATAAATGTTGTTGCATTATAAATGTAATGTACACTTTGCCCACGAAATCTGAATTAGAGGTGTTATAATATAAGCCAAGTTGACTTATTCTTACATGAGTTGTCTACCTTTAATAATTATGATTACTTTCTTAGTTTTCCAGAATCCGGTTTTCTTGCTGGTCACAAAAGTGGAGATTATGTATCTGATATGAATCAAGGTAAATAACTTAATAAATAGTCAAAGTAATTGAAAGAATTCGGGAACTATTAAAATGGGTTCGTTCGTCCATCTGTCTGTCTGTCCGTCCGTCTGTCACACTTTTTGGGACACATTAACTCTCTTTCTAATTGAGTTCAAACTTGGTATAGGTGTTTATTAGGTCAATGCCTTGATGGAGTTCGAAGATTAGCATTTTCTGCTTAGGGTAAGCAGAGATAAACAATTTGATTGGTTGATGCTTTGAGACACGATAACTTAAGTTCTAATTAAGTGAAATTGAGGACACTTGGTGTATAGCTTTATTACATCAGTACCATGACTAATGATCAACATTTTCTGCTGAGGGTAAGCAGAGCGATAAGCAATTTGATTGGTCGAGACTTTGGAACAATAACTCTCCTTCTAATTGAGCTAGAATGTTCAAACTTGGTGTAGACGTTCATTAGGTGAATGCCTTGATGGAGTTCGATGATGAACATTGTCTGCTTTACGGAAAGCAGAGATAAGCAGTCTGATTGGTTGATGCTTTGGGGCATGATGACTTTGATTCTATCTGATAGAGAGTGATGAAACTTAGTGTATAGTTGATAATCAATTTAATTGCTTGATATTATACTTTTGAAAAAATAAATGTGCTATTAATTAATATGTGTCATCTATTTATTTTGGGATTTCGGCGGGGGACATCAGCCCCACTGTTGGCTTGTTTTAATCCACTGTAACATTCATGAATTTAATGTCATTATTATTTATTTCAGTGTCTAGTCTTCAGGCTACAGCTAATCCTGCAGATATTCATGACAATTTAGAGGTTAGTAGATGTAGGCCTACAGTATTTATGAAGATTTAAAAATGGTGTTCTTATTGGTCACATGCTTCTGATCACATTACAATAGAGTTTGAATCAGTGATGGGATTTCGCCCGTATATTCCGGACATTTCCAACGCTATTTTCCAAACGTTCTAAATTATCCGACCAGGAAGAGCGACGTTTACTGCCAAATAAATTTCAGGATGTCATTTTTTTTACCTCCGTATATAAATTGAAACGGAGTATAAGACGAATGCCGGACTTCTGCTGAAAAATGTATCGGCTTATGACCCGAAAAATACAGTAACTTTGGAGGAATTTGAAACGGGAACGAAACGGCAGTAGTCGGCACACTTTCATTCTGTGGTATTACGATGTCATGTAATTTTGTAGGACTATTATTGACAAATTTAAATACTGTACGGGAATTAAACATGAAAAATAACAAGGTGCACGTATTTTTTTTATTACGTATGAATTTGAATATTTTGTGTGGTTTGAAAACGCCTGCTTAAATAACAATAAGAGTTATGCCCCTTTATTTTCGGGACAAAAAATGTCTGACAAGAAAAATTTTGAAATCCCATCACTGGTTTGAATCAACAGCACATTTCTTTCTTGGAATAAATTGCATGACTTCTTCAAAGTACAGTTCTTCTGAAAGTATACTCGTTTCTATTGAACAGTATCTTTTAATTCTTATCAGACATAAATTTTGGTAAAAAAAAAAATAAGTGCTATCTATGTGTTAAAAATAACTATGTTCTTAATGTAGGCAAAAAAGAAAAGTGGTTGGCCGAAAGGTAGAAAGAGAAAGAAGGGTATAAAGGATGCCAATGCTCCTAAACAGCCATTAACAGGATATGTTCGTTTCTTGAATAATAGACGAGAACAGTTACGCCGTGAGAACCCTAATTTAACATTCAGTGAGATAACTAAAATATTAGGAGCTGAATGGTCTAAATTACCTCAACATGACAAACAGGTGAGACAGTAATTCTTTCCAGGCGATTTCATAAACTCTGAAAAATATTATTTTTGTTTCAAACTTCGTATCACTAAATATTGATAATTTGGAAGTGATTACAATATATTATATAACTTTTGTCTTAAAATTTGGTTTCCATTTGTTCTAGCGTTTCCTTGACGATGCTGAAAAAGATAAGGAAAGATACCAAAGAGAAGTAGAAGCATATCAAAAAACAGAAGCATATAAACAGTTTAAAACACAGCAAGAAAAAAGATTAAAAGGTAATAATTCTAGATGATATATTTAACATAGCTTAATACTTAATTTGGAATTCAAAATTTAGTTTGTCCACCGGTTTGTTCATACTTTAATTTATTTGATCAGATTAATTAGTTCTCGGCCAGTTTGATCAAATTTTCAGCGGTAGTTAAGTTAGTATGTTGGTAGTTGTAAAGTTATTGCACTTGACTAATTTTCATACTTAACAGTAATAGAGATGATCTGTCAATTTTTAGTATTTTTGCAAACAAAATTATTGACAGATTTTTATAAAATTTTCAGAAATTGTTTGTATTATGGTACAGATGCTCCCTATTGATTTCCGGCCAATTTTGCAAAACTTGGGGATCTTAAGACAAAATGTAACGTCTGAGATAGTTTTGTTGCATATTTCTGTTATGTTAAATTTTATTCTTTAGGTGATGTAGACGACAGTGATATTCATATAAATGGAGATGTGAGTATAATTTTGATAGACACAATTTCCTTGCACTGTATTTACACCGTTCAGATCATAAGATCTAATCAACCAATCAGAATATCTGTCATGATTTCCAGGGCTGTGTTGTATGCAATGAAAATCGGCCTCCACCTAAACATTCGTGCATGGTATATTTGATCAAATCTTTCTTAGTTCTTTTTTAATGTAGAAAACTTTGAAGTTAGGCAATTTAGTAAATAAAATGTTCCTGCTTTTGATTTCCATGTAGAGATTTATTAATATCATACTGTCTGGCAAAATACTTTTCTGTTGGTAGAAGGGTTGTCAGAGATTTAATTTTAATTAGACTGACAGTTTTAAAACTAGGTTTAAGTATCTGAGTATTATCACAGATTGTGTTAGATAGAACTCAGAAAAGTACTGCTCTTCCCATGGTTTCTACTAGGGTATGCGAGATAAAACCAATAAGATATTAGTTCTAAAACTAAGATTAACTTACATTAATTTACGTTATGTATTCTCTGAGTAATGTGTTTGTACTGTTTTAATTAGACTATAGAAGATGATATAGATCCTACTGGTGGTACAACTGGAAATTTTGATATACCCATTTTTACAGAAGATTTCCTAGATCACAATAAAGGTTAGCTATTATTAAACCAGGTTCTTTATATCTATAATTTAATACAATGAATAACAGTAATGGATATACTAAATAATGGGTTATTAACATACCTTGTTTGGAATCAGGTGGCCCAGTTTTATTGATCCAGAAATTTCCCTAAATCCTTATTGAAAGCATGGCTTTTATGTTTTGGAGCCTTAAAAATGAATTGCTGCCTAAAATTTGATTTAGTTACTAAGGATGTGTGTATTGAAACATAATTTTATCATTACAGCAAGAGAATCTGAATTACGACAGTTGAGAAAACAAACAACTGAATTAGAAGAACAGAATGCTATATTGAGTAAACATATAGAAAATATGAAACATGCTATAGATAAATTAGAGATAGAATCTGTACAACAGCGCAGCACAAATGTAGCTTTACAAAATCACCTAGATGCTTTACGTTCAACTTTAACCTCTCATTTCTCATCCATACCATTACCAGGTTAGTTGTTATATAATTGACATTTAATATCATCGAGGTACAATTTTGTGATTTGATAATTATTCTGTTTAGAGGGGCACCTTTAATAGACTAATTTATATAATCTTAAAAAGATTGGAATGGGTGGATCCCGTGGGGTGGAACAGAAAACAAGTATCTTGATTAGGCTAATTTTCTTGTTTGACTTGTCCTGAGCCTGTTGATGGATTACAACCAAATTTGGTTTGTTTTTTTCATGTTGTTCAGTTACACTGTGCAGGGACAGTCAAAGGTGCTGGACAGATTTAAGGAGCTGATTACAACCAAAATTGATAGATTTGTTCCCTTCGATCCTTATTCATATTTGTTCACCAAAGCTGGCGTGGTTCCTCCTTGTCAGTGATGCAGGACGGAGGGTCTGGCAAGGACAGCTGTCTAGTCCTTCGGATGATACGAAAAACCAAGGTCCCGTGTATACATTGGAATGCATGTAAAAGATCCCTTGGCAGTTGGAATTCGATATAAGAGGAGGCGATAGTGCCGCTGCCCGGGCAAAATTCACTCATAGCACACTGTATGGCGTATGCCCGTCTTCATTAGCCCAGCATAGGAGCAGAACAGTAGGACGTTAAACCCCATTTCATTTCATTTCATTTGTTCACCAAAGTCATTTGACTATTCATGGTGTTTGTGAAAATCTTTGTCTTTATCAAAGAAATAACCTCTTATGATGTTTACAGTCATATTCTCACAATGCATACATACAGTAATATTTTACTTACATAAATTCTTTGTTTAATTTTCAGGAACTAATGAAATGCCATCATTAGAAACTGTTGATACATACATGGCTAAACTCCACACTTTAATACTGGATTCTCCACAAGAAAATGAAAGTTTAATAGCTACTGTTAGAGAAATAGTAGGAAGATTAAACAGTGATAGACTTGAACAATAGGTGATTATATAGTCTAGTTTGGGACATTACATCTGCTGACATTATACAGCCTTAACTGCCTGGCATGTATGTACATATCGTCGTTCGGAATTCAAAAACCTGTAACTCAAAATTTGAAACTTTTCAGGAGAAGCAAAAAACAGTTTATAACATTAACGCGACAGAATACTATCTTGTTTATTTGACGATATATTGCAGTTTGGGTTTCTTTTATGGTCATAATGTCCAAATAGTGCCCTTGATTTTGGCGGTCTATTAATCAGACATGCGTGTATTTGTCACATTCGCTGGGGGATAAAAGTCGAGATACATGTTTTTTCATGGTCATTTTGGACTTACGTGGTAATGTAATAAACATAAGATAAACAACTTAATAGACTTTAAAATGTAAATTCATTCACAAACAAAACGATAATCATAAAATATTATATTTCATATTATATTTGTAAAATATTTTAACAGTTTATGACTTTAAGCCATGAAAATTTATCAGAACAATTCAACTAACAGATAGTTCAAATAATTATGGAGATCAAATTATGAAGATTTATTCATGGAGTAGTCCGTCGTAAAACCCATGATAATCAGGTGGTATCACTTTTTTAAGTTCCGTGAGATGTTTAAACTTTGAAGCTTTTATTTTCTGTGGACCATTGTAAAGTGGTGTTATCCTGTGAGTAAGGTTTCCTGAACATCTCGCCTTCCTGGAAAAGTCCATGTAGGCCTCTGTGTACCGTGTCTTGTATTGAATTGTCCCATCTGGATTGTATTTAATACTCTTAAATCCGTAACACACAGATCACCAGGCTTTACTCCCAGATGAATGGATGTATAATAGTTGAGCTGAGAAAAATCCTTGAAGAATGTGTTATCTAGGTAATTGACTTTGTATGGTTTGCTGACTCGAACGTTTTTCATGACATTAACGTAATCGGCAGGCACATAAATTGACCGGTGACGAAGAGCATGCTCAATAGTGGAGTGGACAGAATCGCACTCCATTTGTGTGTGTCCCATTTCAAGAATTTTCTGGAATATTGTAAGGTTTTTCTTCACTGATAAGTCTAACAATGCATTAGATAATGTGCAGTTGCGATTTTGATATGTGCACCCATCGCTGTAAATGATCAGAACCTTGTCGCCGCCAACCGTTGTTTTTTCTATGTAATCAGCAATACAAGAAGTAAAATTGCTCGACCCTAGATCACCCTCACCCTCATGCCAAACATAACATGAGACCTCCCCGGAACCGAGATCATAAATAGTGTAGTTGTGACATGCAAGTTTTGTCTTGTAATACATAGAACTGGCCAATAAGCTCGGAGCTAACAAAACAGCCTGGAGGTCCATGGTAACCACTCTACACCTGCCTTCTAATGCATTGACTTTGTTGGTTTCTTTTTCGTTTCTGGCTTCATTTTTTTTCTGTATATGATTTCGATATACTTCCTCTTGCAAATTACCAGTTTCAAAACTACAGCACACGTCGCATTGATCTTTTTTAGGATGGAAAATGGAAACCTTCATTTCATTTAAAACCGATTTAAATACTTTGATTGACACTGACTTGATTTCGGCCGTAGTGCAATATTCTTTATAAATACCATAGAGGTGAGAGAATGATTTTGATGTCAGACTGTAGGTATAACCTGGATGTAGAAGACCGACAATAATGCGACGGCAATTTGGGCAAAGATTCGACACTGATGTTGTTTGCGTGCCATTTTGAGAGTCATTTGTCCATTTAAGTAACTGCCATTCACCTATTCCTAACGTAGACAGAAGCATGTTTTTACAAACTCTGATTCGACATTCATTTCGTTTTAGATGGTAGACAAGAGTGCGGTTTCGTCTTGAATTCCCTCCGGTTGTTCATTCAGAAGGGATGTGTGAATCAACTTTATTTGCTACAAAAACTCGTTTTTGATTCCAGTCCATCTTCCAGAATGCGTCGAATACATTTTGCCTATCTCGCTCTGTGAATTCATTACATTTGGTTGTCTTATTTTTGATGCAAGAATGTTGACATTCACGTGGCCCAAGACGTTTTGGTTCCTTTGTGACAGAATAAGTACATTTCCCATCCGTTTTCTTTAAACCCATGTATTTATGGCCTTGCATTCGGGCTAAAAAATTTAACTTTCTCTGATTTGACTTTGCAGACTCCCTCATATCAGCGCAAACATGGACCCTTTCATTTGTATTTAACTCTGTTGTATTATCAGAAGAATCCGATAACTCGGAATCACTTGACTGCAAAGGGAGTAAACATTATTTTTTAATAGGGGGCACCCACTCTGGATCTTCGACCTCAGAAATGTCAAAATCTTCTAAACCAGGCGCAGAAGTGGTGGCTGACACCTGTTTATTAAATGGGTTCTGTGACGTTGATGGGACCGGATCTTTGTTATGTACATGACCCTTTTGGTTGTTAGTAACATCAGTGCTTAAATTGGCAAAAGTGTTGGATTGGAGTGCCAATTTCAAGCATGTTCCGCCTCGTGAAAGTGCCCAGGATGGATTTGCGTTCTGTGAACGTTTTGGACAAGCTGTTCCCCTAGATAAAGTCCACGAGGAATATTTGTTGGCTTCCATACTTCAAGAAATCAAAAAAACCTGAAATGATCAAAGAAGTAAATATTTGTACCTCACAATAGGTCAGTAGGGCAATAGGGATATCAAAACCAGGTAACTCGTAACAATGGCATAATACCCATTAAATATTACAATATTTAATACACATTATAAACTATGTTTCATTTTCTATAGAATATTCATGTTATATAACCAGGTGTTATATTAAGTAGGTGACACACTTAGTATATCACCCACAATTATGAATCTCATGAAATTCTGGTACTCTATTCAATGCATTGTTGATCAATTTCATTTTCAAAAATTATATTCAGGGTTCGAATAAAGTTCAAGTAATTTTTACTGTATAAATTCTTTTATTTATTTACTTGGAATTCATATGAAAATGTTTTAACTTATTGAATACTCACATTTATTATCATTGGTGTTGATTCAGTCAGCCTCCACGTGGTTTTAATCTAGTTACAAGGTTTTGATGGACTAAACTCCAGGCCAATAGAATTACGGGGTATTGATCACATGGACATAAGTGATGTTTTTATTGGACTAGAGGTAAAAGCTTTTAAGGCGAGATGTATGGCAGTGGGAACATTCAACTTGTGTAAAAATATGAAAATGGGAAAATACGGAGTTACAAGCTTTTGACTTCCGAGCGACGATATGTGTCTTTACATTTGGCATTGAAGTTGGGTAGGCACAAGTAATCGGCATACATACATCTACATTTCTACAAGTAAAAATGTTTATAATTTAATGTAGAACAACCGGTCACAACTTTCAAGTAACTACAGTTTGACATACAGAATTCTATTTCAAATATAAGCAAAATAAGGAGCTTGCAATGACACAGTTATCTGGGTCTGTGAGTGTCAACTACATTTTGACACAACTAAGATATTTGATCTAGGAAGAAGCATGTTATTTTTTGAATGAAATATTATTTTATTTGTAACTGAAACATATTTTTTTCTTCTCTTTCAGTCATAAACAAATGCCAAAAGGTGAAACCTTGAAAGTTAATTCAGAACCAATCTACTTCTGAATTACTTCAAAATACTGTAAAATGTGAAATACTGACATTGACAATGGTACTTGTTAAAAACAAGCCAGAATATTAAATATTCACAGACTACTGGTACAAAACCCCAGAATAAACCATTTACTGTTACTGATTGGGTAGTTAAGTTGTTCTTGTATGTTATTGATATTAAGTAGAAGGGAGGTAACTGTGTTGGATGTAAACATGAAATGACTCGCTGATGCATGTAACTTTGTGAATGAATGTGTTAAAATCTATTAAATGAAACCTTTCTAAAAGGACATGTTACAGGGTTGTTTGTTTTTTGTTTATGAAGCTATGAAAATAACATAATAGTCGAACAGAAGAAATGTTGACATAAGCCTGATTGACATCCATGGTCGTCTATATTGTGAAACACAGAGGTTTTACTCGATTGTACATCCCCTACTACTGAATAATGTGAGAAAAATATAAAAATATTAAAGAAGAAGTAGGGCAACATGTACATGGAAGTTATGGCATTAATCTATAAAAAGAAAAAATGTAATTTCAAGAAATCCCCTGCCAACACCAAATGGATGGCCAACAGTACCCTACATCTAGCCTCGGTTGTAGACGAAGTCCGCCTTTGTAATTTCTTTCAAGTTCCCAGATTACCAACAGCATTGGCCATGACAACGCCTTTGAAGAATGTTTTATCATACAAATATTTCTAAGTACCCTACATCTAGCCTCGGTTGTATGACGAAGTCCGCCTTTGGAAATTCTTTCAAGTTCCCGGATTACCAACGGCATTGGCCATGACAACGCCTTTGAAGAATGTTTTATCATACAAATATTTCAAAGTTTGAAGCTGTTTTTCTTTCAAGTTTATTCGAAAATTCTATATGCGCTTCGAACGACAAAATTTTGATAACTTTTTTAAAAGCGGCAGGTTTTCATAATAAGTAAACCGGTGTCGCATCGCAATTGTATAGGCGTAGGTACATATCACTTACTGTCATACAGCCGAGGCTAGGTAAATATCACTTACTGTCATACAGACGAGGCTAGGTACATATCACTTACTGTCATACAGCCGAGGCTAGATGTAGAGTAACGTAGTCTGTCGAGTGAGGATGGATCGACATTCTATTTATTGAATTCATTCTTACTGATTAACTTTTATACTGTATGTAGGATGTTGTTAACATCAAAGGTCAGATTTTGGCTCGTCAAAAAGGCTGTCGTGTCATATTCAGCCTAATAAACGGTGGCTCAGTGAGTAAGATTGACTCGCTTACCTGGAGGTCCAGTGTTGGATCCCTTTTTGACTGAGAAAGTTCACTGGGAATTCTCGATGTGGTTCCCTCTAGTTATTGGTCTGGCAAGGGACAATGTATGTAGTCAATTGGATGGGATAAAAAACCTGAGGTCCCTTGTTCACACTGGGGTGTGCATAAAAGAACCCTTGGCAGTTATAAGAGGCTTTAGTGCTTTTCAGGCGAATTTTCCCTCACGGCATTGTATGCCCCATTCATTAGCCCAGTCAGAGTAGGACGTTAAACCCCATTTTATTTTATTTCAGCCTGATAATTCTCTCTACGCCCTTCACCTCACCTCATGATATTGAGAAAATTTGATGATTGCATCCAATGATTTAGCTGTGGCCGACTCCAACCAATTATTAATGCAGTTGTATGTTTATTGCTGATTGACATTGACAGTATATTCTGAAATGATTATTTTTATCACTTTAGACATTTGATTAAAACTACAAATAAAGATAGGGATATGAAAGGTATTTTACTATTTTGAAGTGTCCCTTTTATTCTTAATACACTATTCCTCTATTGGGGCTTTGGGTGAGGTTAGAATTTAAAGAATAGGCCTTCAATGTGATCAAATTTAAGTCCAAAGGTCACCTTGCGCAATATTTATTGAAGTGGCAAAAAGATTGCAAAGTTCACAACTCATGGACATAGACTGCTTAAATATATGCTTTCAATATTATTTTTATGTGTACGCAACATTATAATTATGTCAATAGTACTTTCTTAATAAACAATGTGACTGTCGGTCATACGATAAATATTATGTCCGTTGCTATACACTAAGTTGTGAAGATCGATTTTATTGTTTTGAGACGAAAGGGGGAGAACTCTTGGGTCAAACACCGTCAGATAATTCTCTCGATTGGACCTGTTGACTCTGATCCGATTTTGGACATTTATTAGAGCTAAATCACGTCCTTACGGGCATGCATGGACACATTTTATAGTGTAGACCTGGAATAAATATATTTTACTGTAAGTAGTCACTTTTCTTGCATTTTATCGATTGCCAATGTTTTGGTGTAGCTGCTTTAGGCCATCCTTGCGTGTTTATATTGTATTAGTCCATTCAATCGCATTTATTTGTAGTAAATATACCGGAAAGCCAATTCTTCCGGTTCTGGAACAAAACGTGACACAAAGGCAGTGTTAAAAGTATGATATTGGGTTTTCAAATTATTTAAACTGATTGTTTCAATGTAGGCCATTGGTGTTTTCTTTGATCTCGCATCTGAAAATTATGATTATTTATATAACACGATTTACGAGCGAATGATCGCCTCTTAAATTATTGCACCATTAACCTATAGTATACATAGGCTTATCAGTTTATAATTTATATGTATACATTTTTATAATAAATTATAAGGAGGTTCAGAGTATTTGATATAATGCTTTCTTCTTCAGCCAAATTATATATCCTATTTTTCCTTAAATCTCTTCTTTTTTTTCTTTTTTTTCTTTTTTCGTTTTCTGTATGTAACTCCTTATATTTCTTATTTTTCCATCTCGTAGATTCCTTCTTTCATTTTCCATCTCTTAGATTCATTTTTACATTTTCCATCTCTTTAGAAATTATATTCATATATTAAACCAAGAATGGATGCTGGGAATATACATAAAAGGGTATTATTTAGCTATTTCTGGATATTGTTTTTTTTTAACTAATTTTATTCCCGCACCTAATTTTCGTTTAAAGCACCTTTTTTTAGTCAGTCGTTTAGTTACCTGTCAGGCTTAAAATGCCTATTTGATGTTTCCAAACGCACGAACATGTACAATTGTATTTAATTAATCGTTGGCTTGGAATATTTAACGATTTGCACATAATATACAATTTATCCATTCGCCAAACAGTAAATCAAGAAATTTAATAATTCACCGATAAAACAGCGAAGCCATGAAAAATGAAATTATTTGATTATATTCATTTTAAATAGTGGATTAGAATCCCCGACCCACACCTTTGATCCTTTCAATAAATATAGATTAAACAACACAGATGGGAATACTGAACTATCTGCATGTTCTATTTATTATTTGATAAAATGGTTTATTTCTTATACAGGGAGGCCTTTGTGACTGTGACTGTAACTGTAACTGACCTGTCGAGAACCCTCTCTTTGGCTTTTGTATTATAAAGAAAAAAGCTAAGAACGTTATTCAGTTTAAGGCATTATTTACTGGCACAATAACCAAAACATGTCCCTTCGATATTGTGAATGACAAGGTCGACTTGATCGGCCTTAGCGGATTATCATTATAAAATATTATCTTTGGCTGTATAATAATAATCTTTAACACGTGCAAATATCAGGTAGTATATCACAAATATTTACATACCTTTATAGTTTATAATTGTTAAATACCAGATTTTACCAATACACACCAAAGCTATTGTTTGCCGAGTTATTTTTTTTTTACTTCCCTGTTCTGTTATGACAAAGCTTGTTCTATTTGGTTGGTTGAGATTACCTAGCAAAAAAGAAAATTCATATAAAATCTGCATTGACATTCAATGATTGCAAAGTACTTGGCGCCTATCATATTGAGTACGGATACAGTTTGTTTCCTAGTTTTATGACCCCTTCAAAGTTAATATAAATTACATAAGTTTAAAAAAATGTAACATTAATTTATTTTCTGTTGGCGCTGTTTCAGTTCTTGAACTTAGTGCCTCTAACCATGCCCACCAACTTCAGAGGTCAGAGTTATTCAAAGATTAAAAAGGACTGTTTGAGTAAAGGTGCTTTATTTGAAGATCCAGAATTTCCAGCTAATAATAAATCACTGTTCAACTCCAAGATTGACAAAGATATAGAGTGGAAACGCCCAAAGGTACAATAATCTATATCTATGTATTGTTATGCATATTGCTATTGGTAGAACTGAAAGTATAAATTATACTCCTCTGGGATAAAAGAATTGAAAAATAAATCAAAAATCCTTTCCCGAGATAAAGAAATTGAAATAAATCAATCCACAATCGATTATTTTGTATGGGTATATTATTTAATTACGGATTAATTAATTGCAGAAAGACAGCAACTCTGAATGGCAAAAATCAATATCTTCGATAAATAAGATCGTGGGTTTCCATTTTACAGCCGCTATAACCCGTAATTCGTTTTAAAGTTACTCCGTGTTGAGGATTTAGAAATAGACAAACGCCTTTTGATCTTAATTTTTCTTTTATTTATCTTTTAATTTTTTAATCTACTAATTCATAATGCAAATTCTGGGCATGGCAAATAGAAGTTATTTGTATAATATAATTCTTAGATGTAGATTAAAACTTTTATGATTAATTTGTAAATCAAACAAATTTATTTGGAACTTTGCCTAGAGATTGAATACAAATTCGTAAATGACATTACCTTTTTTTTTTCTTTTTTCTTTTTTGGACTAATGACTTTAACTTTTATTTTTCTATCAGGAATTATGTAAAGTACCTAAGTTGGTTGTAGAAGGTGTTAGTTGTGATGATTTAAATCAAGGGGAAATTGGTAATACCTGGTTTGTTACAGCATGTTCTAGTCTAGCTAGAGAACCGAAATTATGGCAAAAGGTAATGTTACATAAAGAATAATCTGTAACTAAAGCAGTGGAGTTTAACGTCAAAACACTAAGTCGAGCTATGAGTGACTTGATAATTGCTACGATCACTTACCACCATATAACTTGTGGAAATATAGACATGATTTGGGGACTTTTCGCCAACCCTAAACTCAAAGTTGTCTTGCAAATATAGCATCACAAGATCAGGATACCATTTTTACAGACTTCCATCCCAAATTAAACAGTTGTATCTCTAAAATATATCTGGAACCCCTCTTTTAAAAGATTTCCGTTTAATAAAACCTATATGTTATAAAGTATTTAATCTTATTATTAGGTGGTCACCAACCATAAAGAACAAGAATGGGATGACAAGAACCAGTATGCTGGTATATTTAGGTTCATGTTTTGGAGATTTGGAGATTGGTTGGAAGTTGTTATAGACGACAGATTGCCAACAAAAGACGGAAAACTAGTGTTCTGCCATTCAAAATCGCGTAATGAATTTTGGAGCGCTCTGCTTGAAAAGGCTTATGCAAAGTAAGTTAATATGGTCCTACTTTACTTGCACGCCAATGTGTAAGCGGAAGCTCGATTTTTCGTCCCATCCGAATCCCTAGACACTGTTCTTGCCAGGCCGTAAGGAACTTTCTCAGTCAACACCGGAACGAACCCGAGACCACATGGTTAGCCAGCCAGTGTCTTATTCACTGCGCCACCGCGACCCACCCTGGTGAAACAGACGTACACAGTAAATACAAGGATGAAAATATCTTCTGAAATGTTTATAGTGACAGCGAATTTCAAACTGTTTGGCACACAAAATTTGACATCCAGATACATAGACCATGTCAAACATTAATTATTAGTCCCTTTAAATTCCACACCCCACATAATGTTTGAAGTGTAAGATAGAAAATGAAATATCAATAAACATTATATAATCAATACTGTATCTAATAGGTTTTTCCATGTTCTCATTAATTGCAAAACTGTGAAATTGCACAATTATCGGACGTTGATTTTTTTAAACCAGGAAGAAAACCCGCATGGAATAAATTTGACTAGATTGGAATGATATTTTCCCTGTAAAATCCATAAAGCACCATACATTATAAATATAATAAAAATGAAATGAAATGGGGTTTAACGCCCTACATTTCTGCTCAAGCAGGTGAAGACGGACATACGCCATACAGTAGTATGCTAACGTGTACACGGAAACTTAATTGTCCGTCCCAGTATTGGCAGTTGAAGTTTCCCTAGATTTTCCAGTGTTTTTTCCCCTTGTCAGTATAGTGCACAACGGAGGGCCTGTCAAGGATAAGGTCTAGTCGTTCGGATGAGACAAAAAACTGGATGTTGTTCCTTGCGAGGACTGGAGCCGCGGTGGCCCAGTGTTGGCAGTGGAAGGAGAGCCTGTTAAGGATAAGATCTAGTCGTACGGATGGGACAAAAAAACTGAGGTTCGGTGTACACGTTGTCGTGCACGTAAAAGAACCACTGACCGTTAGAATGTCCCTTATAACACACTGTACGGCGTATGATCTTGTCCATTACTGGCATTAGACCAGTCGTTACAGAATAGTAGAACGTTAAACCTCATTTCATTTCATTTCCTTGTCAGACTCACCGCTCTGTACCACAGAAGAAAATATCAGACTGAAAAATCTTGAGGAATTTGTCGGCCAATACAAGGATCGAGCCCTGGACCTCCTGATTAATACACCGGCGCCTTACTTACTGAGAGACTCTGCGAATATAATCAAACAAAATAAATAATCAGTGGTTGCCAGACAAGATACGCCCACATTTTGCAACAGATGGACAGAGAACAGCTAAAACAAAAACGTGATTTTTTTCATACAATCAGTAGCCATAATCCAGGTCTGAAATGCGCGAATATCGAAATGGGCTGAGATTTTTGGGATATACAGATATATTTTAAGTTTCATAAAAATCGGATAAAAATTATGATCTCTATAGAGGGTCCACAAACTTCGTATTACATACTTTTACACAATTTGCGTACAAGGAGCGGCCATTTTGTCGGAAAGCTACGTTTGAACTCAACCTTCATTATGGTGATAGAATTAAACGGTTTTTAAATGTGGGCGTATAAAAAACCCCAACCTATATACCAGTACAGTGCAGCCGCCCCTAGATTACTCTTATGTACGAAATGATGCAGTCATGTTGACTGGTTTGGTTCGAGTATATAAGCTATACAATTACGTCGATAATTTTTATATTATATTATGTCGTCCCAGTTCTTAGAAAAATGTAGAATGGTATAGAATCTGCATTTCTGATTTTGGAGAAACAACTCAAGATATATAGCACAGTACTTTGTGTTTTGATTAAGCTGATCTCGGGTTGTTTTGATATAATATTAAATAATAGATACTGGTATTAAATAATTTAATGTTTAAATGCCATTAACAAATATCGCTTAGGCTAAGACTGGCTCAACTGCATGCCTATCAAGTGTTTATGTTGTTTTTTTCCGCTTCGAACTAAATACAGAAGAAATCAATATTACTAGGTTCAATAAAAGTATTCGCCATTGACGTCTTTTATGGAACAAGAAGTGTGTTTATTCGCTGCTATGAAACCGTTCATCACATTAGATAACATCACCATGGTGATTCAAAATAATCAAAAGTAACAATTCGTGCTTATTATAGAAAAACTATTAAATATAGATGAAATAATTCATGGCTGAGTCCGGATAAACCATTTGAATTGATATTTTGGAATATACAATAACGTTAAATATCATAAAGATGCTTTAGATCAGAAGGTCCGTCATTGAGTCAAGTGACGTACTGGTTTCGATTCCCCGTTTGAACGTGAAAAGGAGTAAGGTCGCTTGTCCAACCTCGTGGGTTTTCTCCGGTTTCCTCCCACTGCTAAAGACCCCTACGCGCAACAAATTCTTGAAATGAATTTGAACCATGTTAGTTTGTCTCGATGAGTGGACGCTAAACCACATTTCTCCTTTTCTGATAAAGATGCATATGATATTCATATGATTTTCCGGCATGGTTTTCCCTTATCGGTTGTACAGGTCGGAGTCTTAATTGTTCGGATGTACACATTGGCGTGCACGTAGAAGAACCCTTGACAGTTGGAATTCGAAAAAAAAGTAGGCCGTAGCGCCGCTGTTCGGGATAAATTCCTCTCAAAGCACACTGCATGGCATGTGCCCTTCTTTAGTAGCCCAGGTGGAGCAGACAAGTAGGACTTTAAAATATCATTTCATTTCGTACACAGGGCACAATTCTATGGAATACATTAACTGTTTATTCAGAGAAGCCAAGTCGAAACGTCGCTCAGTGATAAACAGTAATTGTATTCCATAGAATTGTATCATATACTGGCATTTTAAACGGGTTCCTTGCCAAGCCATATTTCATGGAAATAAAAATGAACTACACATTTATTACAGAATGTACGGAGATTATGAATCCTTAGAATGCGGAACTGTAGCTGACTCGTTAGTAGATTTTACCAGTGGCGTATCGGAGAAATTAGAAACAGCTAAATTACGACAAAATGCAGATCCAGATAGCTATTCAGCTTTATTTACCAAGTTATCAGAAGCCCAGGAAAACAGAGCTTTAATATCATGTAGTATTGTGGTAAATATTGTCACGATTTTTAACTTTATCGTAGTTCACAATATGATCTATGCGCAGCGCAGACACGGCGAATAGAGTTTATTTTTGCCAGGGTAAAACAGGTAGTTTATCATTAAAAACAGATTCAACAAGAATACCCACACACAAATACAGCATATTACACCAGACCTATATATTTAACAGAAAGTAAATACAGACATCTCCATAATGATTATACTATATTTAGCCATGTAATTATATAAATTTATATATTTCTATGTATGTACATTACCATTATTATCACCTAATTAACACAATCTTGTCCAGTGATCGTAAAGAACGAGTAACATTCACAACGAAACCGTTGTTTGGGTAACTAATTACCTGCAACTAAAGGCGTACCATGCTATTTTCTGTTTATTAATAATAATACCCAGAACATATTGGCAATGTATATATTAGATTCCTGCGTCTGGGTTGTATAGGAATCCGTTGATAAGTAGACGATAAAATTATATTAAAACAGTTGTCCTAGCAAATTCCGTTTTTTAATACGCCCGGTGTACTGAGAAAAATTACATAAAACATTATTTTTCATATACTTCTAAATAAGTGTAACGATGGCTTTCGGCTGTCCAGCCAAAGTTCTATTTCCAAATGTTGCATAGGAAACACTAGGACATGAATCACTATATATGTTAGTCTCAAAATAGTCGAAATATTGTGTTAAACTCCATTTAGGCCGTGTGTTAGACCAATGTCTCTCAGTTATGGATATATCCGTCATCTTCATTTACGTCGATTGACAAACTGTTCAGTATGAATAATTGAAATGTAATAAAAGAAATGTGGAGTTATGCAATTGGGTAATTCTGGCTAATGAGAATTTTTTATCTTATTTTTTGCATATACATGTATATAGGCTATATATTAGATCTGTCGTAGAATATATACACACACTGAATGATACTTAAAACTATTTGATTAGCTCTCGAATAATATCGTTCAATGATAAATATAAATATCAGGTTACACTAACCTTTTATGGTGCATAATATTTCCAGTATGTTACATGTACATTATGAACTATCTCATCTCCTACTTCGACGAAAACGATAGATGTATATGTACTTATTGAAAGGGTCTGAGTGAGCATTGTACAAATAGTTTCTTTTGAGATTAACATAATTTCTCTTTCTTTCATTTATACAATTCCAACTGCCGAGTCATTATTTGTATACATAAACTAAGCTAGACTGTCTATATAGACGATTTCGAATCCCCGGTTGTACGTGACAAGGAGTAGGGTCGCCTGTCCAACCTCGTGGGTTTTCTCCGGGTCCTCCGGTTTCCTCCCACTGCTAAAGACCCCTACGCGCAAGCGAATTATTGAAATAAAATCAAACCATATGTTAGTCCCGAAATGACCTAGTTTGTGTCGCGTGGACGTTAAACCCCATCTCTCTCTCTATATATATATAGACGACTACCAACAATTAGGAATTAGGGTTCCGCATATTCTCGCCGTGAGACTAGTCCAACATTGAACAAGTTACCACAACTATAGCTCATTTCGGGTTTTACGTGGTAATGGGTTAGTGACCACAAACGAATTAGTGACAGTTTGACAGACCTAAAATCCCAAACCTAAGTAAATTGTTTTGCTAGCGTAAGTCACATCTGATAAAGGTAAGCCTTGCATAGGCCTACCGTCATCACTGTATCGCATTTATAGTTTGTAATATTTCTGTTCATTTTGATTGCAGTGTGCTACACCAGAAGTAGGCTCATACACAGAACAAGGTTTAGTATTAGGACATGGTTATAATGTTACAGATGTTAGATATGTTGAAGTTAGTCGTAGTTTACAAGGTACCATTGGTACAAGTGAACTATATTTAATTCGTCTCTTTAATCCCTGGGGTTCTAGAGAATGGAATGGTCCTTGGTCTGACGAGTGAGTATCTTTATTATACATTACACAGTGTTGATATATTGGGAAATGGTATCGAAAAGGTGACCAATAAATTATAAGCTGAAGCCTTATTTCATAGGAAATTATCCATTATTGGATGCTAAAACTGTATTCCATGTTGGATTATTATGGGCCCGTTTTTAATTGGATTTTCTTTTAGAATCTGCAAGCTAATGTATGTTAATGTTTCTCTTTTTAGTTCTGAAGAATGGAAACGGGTTAATCAGATGCAATGGGAGAAAATGGGAGTTAAATTTGAACATGAGGGAGAATTTTGGTAAATGAGTTATTATAAAGAAATAGCAGTTTAGCTAAGAAAAAACGAGGTCTCGTGTACACGTAGGACATAAGTAGTACGCGTAAGACTAGATACGTGTAGGTGGAAACGCTGTTGCCGGGACAAAGTTCTTATCCAGAACCTTGATAGTCTCAAATTGAACAAGGCATTGTATTGGCGAGACGTTAATCATTTCTATCCATTCGTGTTTTTAATCTGTTACCCAGTGACGCGGTCAGACTGAAAGATGTCCTGGGGGAAATATGAGATTATTTCGCTGACATTTCGCCGGTAAATTTCTAGATCATACTAGAAGGACATGTACTGTTATAGGGACCATATTTTTTAAAAAAAATAATGTACCACCCATCTCTACTGCACCAGCTTCCTCTGCTGCCTCACCCACCCCTACTGCTTCAACTTCCTCTGTTGTCTCACACATCGCTACTGCATCATCTTCCTTTGCTGTTGTCTCACCCACTATACTGCATTAAATTCTTCTGTTGTTCAGCAAAGTCCTACTATTCCATCCATGTCGACTGTTCAACACTCCTCGTCTATGCATGTTACAACCATTTAGATTTTGTTTGCCGTCAGACACAATGTTGGTGTCTTTGACGTAATCTTATATGGTGCTATTTTAAAGAGCATCCGAACATCGACGTGCTGGATTATGGTGTTAAATATGTGTAATAATTATTATTTCAGGATGTCGTTTGAAGATTTTATTCAACATTTTACCTATGTCGATATCTGTCATTTCGTCAACACATCATTTTTCTCTATCAAGAAAACCTGGTCAGAATCTATCATGCATTCAGAATGGAATCATAATGGTAGAAATGGCGGTGGGGTAGTCAATTCTCAATCGTTTCTCAGTAACCCTCAGGTGCGTATAATATGGTATTGAATGATTATTATATGATAGAATAAAGAGATATGACTAGGTCCTGTATACAGTTTAACATTGCAAGTATTCGGTCCAAACACACAGAATACTGTAGTTTGCTCTTATTGAGCCATGTGCAGTCGAGAACGGGAAGCATTATATACGATGACAAATAAATTTCAAAATTATGATAGTCTTAGTGGGTGGCAGGATACGCTTATTCTTTTCGGAACAACGGATACTACTTAATTATTTGGGTTTTAACCACTTTGATACAGTTCACTGGTAAAATTCAAGCACCATAATCAATTACTTTAGTGTGGTAATCTGATCAACGTGAGAAAGTCTTCAATTTGTTGTTCGTTTTCTTTCGTTGTATTCTCCATATTTTATATTTTACCATACTCAGCACGTGACAATTTAAAGGATGTCCTTTAAATTAGACCAATTAATAATTGTCCACTGATGTATTTATAATTATAAACTCATTAAAGTTTTGTGCATAACTTATTCTGTACTTTATATTTTACTTAACATATGACACGTTTGACTTCTATATTGGTTATTATGAAACTCAGAGAATAATCAAAGTATCACCCATTTCTGTATATTTGACCAATATTTTAATTGGTTTATCAACAGTTTTTATTTGATATCAACTCTATCAATGATAAGATAATGGTATCATTAGAACAACATGATATAGATGCTGGAAGACAAACGTTTGGTCAGAATATAAATACTATTGGTTTTCATATAATGAAGGTGGGTGATATTATTAACAAATTATTTAGGATGGTCAGTTGTTTGAGTGGTCTGACACTAACCGTTCAGACCACACAGTCTATCACTGGATTTGATACCAAGGTCTACGGGGTAGGGTCGCCTGTCGAACCTCGTGGGTTTTCTCCGGGTACTCCTGTTTATATTCAATTAAGCTGATGGTTTCTAAATGCAGCTATAACCCGTTCATATAAAATATTATTATCTTACCATTTTACTGGTATTGTACCGACATTTTTCATTACTAAGAATGTTGAGATCGTCATGATACAGAACTCATATTGTTATTAAAACCTTTTTGTTGCCTGTCCAACCTCGTGGGTTTTCTCCGGGTCCTCCGGTTTCCTCCCACAGCTAACCGTTCAGACCACACAGTCTATCACTGGATTTGATACCAAGGTCTACGGGGTAGGGTCGCCTGTCGAACCTCGTGGGTTTTCTCCGGGTACTCCTGTTTATATTCAATTAAGCTGATGGTTTCTAAATGTAGCTATAACCCGTTCATATAACATATTATTATCTTACCATTTTACTGGTATTGTACCGACATTTTTCATTACTGAGAATGTTGAGATCGTCATGATACAGAACTCATATTGTTATTAAAACCTTTTTGTTGCCTGTCCAACCTCGTGGGTTTTCTCCGGGTCCCCCGGTTTCCTCCCACAGCTAAAGACCCCTACGCGCAAGCGAATTATGGAAATAAAATTGAACCATATGTTAGTCCCGAAATGACCTAGTTTGTGTCCAGTGGACGTTAAACCCCATTTCTCTCTCTCTCTTGCTATTAAAACCTTGTAGCATATGTAACTGAAATTTTGTATTAGGTATAACTCTGGATATTTTCTTAAACATTTCAACAGTGGCAACGCCTTTTTAACAGCCAGGGTAAATATGCTGTTCAAATGGGTGTATGTTTGATGTAGCCTAAAAGTAACTAGATTCTTAATTAGTATACATGGGTTGGGAATAATTTTTGGGAACTCTTAAGTTGTAGCAGGCTTACAGTCATATTTCTGTAATCTAGAATAGCCGATAAATAATCACAATTAATTATATTTAATTGTTTCATTAGTCTGTACTTTGTTTTAGGTTGAAGAAAACCGAAAATTCCGAGTACATATACATGGCGAGCTCATGTTTACTTCAGATTATTGCAAAACTCGTAGTGTATTTGGAACGACATCGTTACACCGAGGTCGATATATAGTTGTACCGACAACTTTTGAACAAGGTCCTGTAGGAAAATTTATGTTACGACTTTATACTGGCAGTTCTTCTGGAGGAAGGTGAGTGTTCTTGTAGTAAACAATGACAGTGCACTACATGGCACCTTTGAAAAATTGCCCAAATCGAACGTGACCAGTTGGGTGCTTAAAGCCCTAATTACAGTTTTAATTGTGTTAATCCAACGTCTAACCTTCATATGCCTACACTGAATTATCACAATTTTCAAAATGACCGAAAACATTCCATTACCGCCCATGCTTGATATCGGATTCATAGTTCTAAAGATATCTGAAATTGACGATAGAATTTTGTCTGAAATTGACGATAGAATTTTGTCTGAAATTGACCATAGAGTCTTAAATAGACTACGTCTGAAATCGATAGAGTGTTACATAGACTATGACTGAAATCGACTATAGAGTGTCACGTAGTCTATGACTGAAATGACGATAGAGTATTACATAGACTATGACTGAAATCGATGATAGGGTATTAGATAGACCATGACTGAAATCGACTATAGAATATTACAGAGACTGACTAAAATTAACCATATATTATTTACATAGAATATACATGTAACTGTAATCCACGATAAAGTATTACATAGAATATAACTGTAATCGACCATAGAGTATCACATAGACTATGACTGAAATCGACTATTGGGTATTGCATAGACTATCTAATCACTGAGATCGACCATAGAGTATTACATAGACCATAACTGAAATCGACCATATAAAGTATTATATAGACTAAGACGGGAAATCCAAAATGAATGATGTTTGTGTATATAATCAAGCATTTGTCTATGTTTTCTTTTTTGTTTTTTTTACGTAACGCATGTAAAACAACGGCTGTTATAATTATTATAATTTATTTTAATGCTAACAGTGTGATATCTCCAGTGAAGTAAGTTTTAAATTTGTCAGCGCCTAGCACATTGTATTACACATTCACTCCTATTTAATCCAAATGTTGCTTTTTATACGCCCACATTTTCATGTGGACGTATATTGTCGCCATTGTTCGTCCGTCCGTCCACAATTTGTTTGATGACACTCTACAGGTCACAATTTTTATCCGATTTTGACGAAACTTGAAATATAGGTCTATCTCCCAAAGGTCTTGGTTTCTTTCGATATTGGCATGCAGCGGGCCATAACTTCATGGATTATGGCTCCTGATTGTACGAAAAATCTCGTTTTTAGCTTGTGGAGACTCTAGGCCTATCTCTCAAAGATCTCGGTTCACAATTTTGATCCGATTTTGATGAAACTTCAAATGCATGTTTATAACCCAAAGATCTTGCTAGCTTTTAATATTCGCGCATATTGGATCGTAACTTCCTGAATTATGGCCCCTGATTGTACGAAAAATCGTATTTTTAGATTTCGTGAAAATCTGACCAAAACTGCCGGACAAAATGGCCGCCCCATATAGGCAAATAGTGTAAAAATATGGTATATCAAGGTTGTGGACCCTGTAGAGGTCACAATTTTCATCCGATTTTGGTAAAACTTGGAATGCATTTTTATGTCCCAAAGATCTTGGTTCCTTTCGATATTCGCGCATATCGGATCGTATTTTCCTGAATTATGGCCCCTGATTGTACGAAAAATCGCGCTTTTAGCTTGTGGTCCCTCTAGAGGTCACAATTGTTATCCGTGAAAATCGGACCAAAACTGTCGGACAAAATTCCGTTCGATATTCGCGCAAATCGAATCGTAACTTCCTGAATTATGGCCCTTGATTTCACGAAAAATTGCGTTGGTCCATATAGAGGTCACAATTTTTATCCGATTTAAAAACAAACCGTTATACACTAATGATGGTTGAGCTCGAATTTCGTGAAAATCGGACTAAGACTGACAGACATAATGGCCGTAACTTGTACGCAAATAGTGTAAAAATATGGTATATCAAGGTTATTGACCCTCTAGAGGCACAGTTTTTATCCGATTTGGATGAAACTTTAAATATGTTTTTATCATAAAGATCTTGGTTCCTTTTGATAATCACATTATCCGAACGTAACTTCCTGTATTATGGCATTCGTTATACTTCAGCCACTCCCCATCTTTGTAGATCTCAAATAAGTCGCAAAAACTACATGTACGTTATAGATTATAATAGAACATTGGTTTATAAAATGTAGCTCTTAAAGGACAATGTAGGCGTCAGCTAATATTACATATATGATAGATCTTTTCTACGGTTGTAACTCTTTAAATTCTTCAACCGTTTTAAAGATCGTTGTGCTAAAACTGTATTTGAAATTCTTTTAACAACTTCTATCAGGTATTTAATATCGGCAGACGCCAACATTGTCCTTTAGTCTGGGCGTTTCATTTTTTTGGGTTTACTGTGCCTGGTGATGCTTTTCCTTCTCAAATTCATTTTTTTTTGGTTCTTGTGTACTTTTTGACCATGATGTTTTATTTTACTATATCGCTATTTAATAAAGTCCAAGGTTCTTGTTTTATCAACAGCTGTATTTTCAACTGTTTTTTGTCAATTTAAACAAAATTTATAAAAAGATGCATATATCAAATATTAATAATATTCAATGATTACAAAGAGCTCAATGATAAATAAGGATGAATCAATATCAGCCTTTTAACCAGAAGGTTTTATCTAGCAAATTGCGAAATATTGGGTACTTGCTACTTTTAAAATTGCGTAATTTCTTCCCTTTCTGGAAGTGTAAAACAATAGTTTGATGTAAACTTATTGAATATTATTATTACTATTTTCAGAGAATTAACGAAGGAAGCGCCAGCTAGTAGTTGTCCGTGTATCAAGGGTTATTCTATGGTATCAACTATAACTGTTTTATCAGCTGAAGGTCTGTCTTTACCCGAAACAGCTAAAGCGTCTCAAAGTAAGTATCTATGTTCAGTAGTAATTCCCTTTAACACATATTTTCTTTTACGATGACCATACCGATCTATTTATTGTAATTTAAAATATATTTGACCTAATTATGATCAGCTATATATCTACTGTGAAGCCAAAATTGTTATCTGTGAGGTATTCTAATTGGAGTGATAGTTTGATGTGATCTATTATATTTTCACTTATTGTGATCTATTATATTTTCTTTTATTGTGATCTATTATATTTTCTTTTATTGTAATCTATTATGTTTTCTCTTATTGTGATCTATTATATTTGATCTTAAAGTGATCTTTTGTATTTGGTCGTATTTGAATTTATTATCTTATTGTGGTCTGTTAAATTTGATCTGAATGTGATCTATTATATTTTCACTTATTGTGATCTATTATATTTTCTTTTATTGTGATCTATTATATTTTCACTTATTATGATCTATTATATTTGATCTTATTGTAATCTATTATATTTGATCTTATTTTGATCTATTATATTTGATCTTAAAGTGATCTATTATATTTGGTCGTATTTGAATTTATTATCTTATTGTGGTCTGTTATATTTGATCTTAAAGTGATCTATTATATTTGATCGTATTTGAATTTATTATCTTATTGTGGTCTGTTATATGTGATCTTATCGTGGTCTGTTATATTTGATCTTAATGTGATTTATTATTTGATCGTGTAGTCTGTTATCTTTGATCCTATTGTGAGGCGATGTTTTGATCTGTTTATATTAGATCATGTTATGATCTACTATTTGATAGTATTGTGATATATTACGGTTGATCTTATAATGATCAGTTTTATTTGGCCATTTTGAGATCTACAGTGTTGTGATCAATTATATTTGAGCATATGTGATGAATTGTATTTGGTCTTAGTGCGATGTCCCGTCGTCATTAGCCTGGAATACACAGAAAAGTAGGACTTTAAACCCCATTTCATTTATTGTGATATATTCTGTTTGATCATTGTGATCGATTTATATTGAACATATAGCGATGTATTTTATCTGTGTTGTGTCTGATTTGATCAGGCTATTTTTGTGAATTGTGCTTGATCTGATTATGATCGAGTATACTAATACATTCCGTGCTCTGTTATATTTGATCTTGGTGCTATATTTCATTATATGTGATGTGTTATATTTGATCTTATGGCAGTGTGCTAATTTTCATTATAATGTGATCTATTATAAATATTTGATCTTATGATGATGCGCTAATTTTCGTTATAATGTGATGTGTTATAAATATTTTTGATATTATGGTGGTGTGCTAAATTCCATTATAATGTGATCTGTTATGTTTGATATTATGGTGATGTGTTAGATTTCATTATAATGTGATGTGTTATATTTGATCTTTTTGTCATATGGCGAGGTGCTATATAAGATCATAATTGAGATGTGTTATATTTGATCCTTTCGTCACATTATTATATTATATTTGATCTTGTGGTGATAATCGTAATTATGATAATCTGTATCTTATTATGATGGGATTGTATGATGCTATCGTTGTGTGTTATATTTGATTATATTGTGATGTGTTGTATTTGATTGTATTGTGATGTGTTATATTTGATTATATTCAGCTCTTGATCCCCTGATGATTATAAAGTGTGAAGGTGAGAGTGTTAAAACAAATTATATGGCTAATAAGGTATCACCGAGTTGGAATATAAAGGCTACGTTTTACAGAAAGAAACCAGAATTACCCATAATAGTAGAAGTAAGTCAATTTATTTTTTCATACATTTTGATTAACCACTAGACATCGACCTAAGCTCCTGAAATATAAAGGTTGCAGTCGATCAATCAGTCAGGCAATGGGGATTTACGTCCGCTGCCAATAGGGTGATATCGCAGACAAGTGTTTCCCGGGAAACTTGCAAGAGGAACTAAACAAGTAGTTCGTTTCGCATAGGTTGGAGACGGTTAAGCGATTAAGAGACCTAACCGCTTCCATTTCCTTAGTTGTAGACGCAAGTACCTTATGAGTAGCAGTGTCCAAGATAGTATTCATGACCATATAGGTTCCATCCAAGGCGTTGTTCTTGGGTACAAGTACTAAAGGTTTCGCCTCGGAGAAGGTTGCGGTCTTATCTGTTTGAATTTATACTGAATGATGACAGGCTATCTTTATTGAAAATGACTTCTATAAACGAACGCTGACTCCGTTGTATTTATTTTATGTTTGGCTTGGTATGTAGTTTTAAATTAGTTTCAGTCATGCACAACAACCTGATATGCAAATTACCAAGTTAGCACAGCTGATATAACCTTATTGGGGGGGGGGGGGGGGGGGTGTCAGACTGGTTAGCACTGGTTGTACGTGACAAGGAGTAGGGTCACCTGTCCAACTTAGTAGGTTTTCTCCGAGTCCCCCGGTTTCCGCCCACTGCTAAAGACCCCTACGCGCAAGCGAATTATTGAAATAAAATTAAACCATATGTTAGTCCCGAAATGACCTAGTTTGTGTCGAGTGGACGTTAAACTCTCTCTCTCTCTCTCTCTCTCTCTCTCTCTTTTTCTGGTTGGTGCAGAAAAGAAGGACGTTAAACCCCATTTGATTTGATTTCGTTACTAGGTCTCTGGGTGTAATTACCATTATCAGATACTTCCTGGAAATACCAAAAGCAATGTCTTGGACGGTAGTTTCATTGATTGATTTATTTGTTTTTAGATAAACAACCATAATATACTAGTAAATGATTTCTTGGCTGAAGCACGTGTAGAAGATCATGGAGGTGAGAACGGTAAAGAGGTAACGTGCAAACTTTATGGTAGAAAGAAAGAGGTGGACACAGTGAAGCCCGGAACAGTAACTGTGTTTATTAGATCGAGTTTTGATTTGACTTATCTTTAAATATATACTGATATTACAATTACTAACACCAACAGGGTCCTAACAACAGCATATCATCCGTACCCAACTGAATGTAGATTGTGTTGTTAAAATACATTCAAATGGCGAGAAATTAAAACTATTTCTCCTGTAAAACAATTTAAACTACGAGAATTAGCAAGACATTTCACTGCAGCATTAAAGTGTCTTGAAAGAATCGACTATACTGTTATAGTCGACCATAGCCATTTTGATGAATACATTAAGATAGCAAAACAAAACAAATCTTAAATTCAGTATCTAATTAACCAATATCATTATACTTATGATACCTTCATGTACATATATTTTATATAAGATTTCAAATTGCGGTTTCAATATACCAATATTAAAAAAGGTTTCAATTTTCGGTGGTATCCTAAATGATCTATTTTTGAAAATGGGCAATGCATTTACATCATGAATCTATGTTTTATAACTTACTTGTGGTTTCTCTTTTTTCGAATGTTTCGTGTAGAAATCTATTTTTATACGCCCACATTGAAATGTGGTCGTATATTATCGTCGCCCCCGTCCGTCCGTCTGTCCGGCGTCCACTAGAGGCTAAAATTAATATCCGATTGACTTTAAATTTATCCGAGTGTTTAAGGTCATGGGACGAAGAAGCCTATTGATTTTCAGCGATTTCCGATAATTACTGCCAGAGTTATGGCCTTGATCTTGTGGACGCTCTAATTAATATCCGATTGACTTTAAATTTATACACATTGTTTAAGGTCATGAGACGAAGAATCCTATTGACTTTCAGCGATTTCCGATAATTACTGTCAGAGTTATGGCCCTTGATCACTTTGAAAAATCTTGTGGATGCTCTAGAGGCTAAAGTTAATATTGGATTGACTTTAAACTTATACACAGTGTTTAAGGTCATGAGACGCAGAATCCTATTGATTTTCAGTGATTTCGGATAATTACTGCCAGAGTTATGGCCCTGTGGACGCTCTAGAGGCTAAAGTTAATATCCGATTGACTTTAAATTTATACGCAGTGTTTGAGGTCATGAGACGAAGAATCCTGTTGATTTTCAACGATTCCCGATAATTACTGACAACGTTATTGCCCTTGATCACTTTGAAAAATCTCGTGACGAACAAAAATATATTGATTTTCAATTAATTTTGATAACTTGAATAAATCCATGATATTAAATGTTTCGTATACTAAACGTTAGCATGGGGCAGAACTTTATAAAAACCAAACAAATTCTAATGATTTTCTGATAATTACTTGATGAGTTGTTACTCTTAATCAGATTTTAGTGTATTATAAATGTTTCATTACCGAAAAAAAGTAAAAATATGCGACAACTTTTGTTGATTGCCCGGACGATTTAGCTGCTGTGGGCGTATGTTTCGTTTCCTGGCAACCTAACTTATACGAATGTTGTTATTGTTATTTATTACTTAAGCTAACTGTGATAATAAGATCTATATGTAAATATTGTAAGTACATCATATGTTTATAGAATTTAATACAAAATAAGAGTTGAACTATTCCGTCCTTTTAAACTGAATATATCTTTGTTACGTCCAGTATATAGAATCTCGATGTTAAGTTGCTTTTTTATTTTTTTTACTACTTTTTTGTTAAAAAATCATTAATTTTAAGCTTTAAAAATTTAATGCAAAATAAGAATTGAACTATTCCGTCCTTGTTATCGATGTCATTTTGCCCTTTTCTATATTCTTATTAGTTTTGTATATAACAAATATAATTTCAAACTTTAAAAATAGATTCCGTAAGATGATGATGTGCAATTAATTATTTGTGATATCCGTGGAATTGTAGCCATAATATATACACCATTATTATATTTTCAATGATACTAAGTTTCCACCATCGTTTGGTTAGTACCGTACACGAACAATATATTATTGTATAAAATTGTATGGTATTGTATATTGCTGTATAAATATAATTTCACTGTGATAGACGAACACATATTAGTGTTGAAGTGCTCACCAATGAAATAAATCTTTAAATCTGAATTGATGGTTTTCAAACAACATTATTTTTATGGTGCCGAAAGTAAAAGTAGCATTATGACTTACAACAAAAAATATTGGATAATTACTTTCATCTTTTGACTCAACTAGTTGTCAAAACTTGAAATACTGACCAACTTAAAGTCGGCGCTTGCTCACTAACCAGGAGGGACCTGTTTCAATCCCGGCGAGGCCAGGGCACAGTATAATATAGTCGATCGAAAAACAGAGTTCCCGCGCGCGTACTTGTTGGCGTGCACGTAAATTAGCCTTTAACTTAACAGTCGATCGAAACGTCGCTGTCCGGGCAGAGTGAGAGTGAGAAAGAGAGAGAGATGGGGTTTAACGTCCACTCGACACAAACTAGGTCATTTCGGGACTATATATAACATGTGGTTCAATTTTATTTCAATAATTCGCTTGCGCATAGGTCTTTAGCAGTGGGAGGAAACCAGAGGTCCCGGAGAAAACCCACGAGGTTGGCCAGGCGTTCAACCGGAGAATCGAAACCAGTTTTAATTATGTTGCTACATGTAATGTATACATTATACATTTCAAAACTTTAAAAAAAAGAAGATAAGGTGATGGAATTACATTTTAATGACATTTTGAAATAACGATGATAATGCACATTGTGGTTTAAAGGAAATATAAATTAATATCACTCTAAATATGATGGTTTGTGTGTAGCTATAGTATACAGGCACTTTAAATATTACACCATATATAACAATATTATACAATGCAGGAAATAACAAATCTAATATGCATATCACTATTCATATACAAAAGAAATCAATACAAATTTTACAAAAAATGTGCAAAGCAGTAATAGTGAAGTTATACAGGCACTTTAAATTACAATTACTCATATAAAAGAACAACAATTTACAACAAAATTAAATATAATGGACGGAATATTGAGCAGATAACAAATTATATTACTTGATATTATATTATATTAAATATAGATGGCATAGCATATAAAATTGGTCTTATTATCTAAAAAATATAAATATGGACGGAATATAATATGAGATTTGAGCAGGCATCAGATTCTTATATAACCTCAGGAATAGAAATATTGACGGAATAGCAAATGTGATTGCAGTGGCTGGTGAATAGGGCACCTATTTATTAACTCAAAATGATAAAGCACGGACGGAATATCATGAGGATGGTGTCCCAAAACAAAATGATTATAATTTCCTCAACTCGCGAACTTTAAGCCAACACTTATAACTTGGTAACACTAATGCCATAGTAAGTGTGATTAACAGGATTTTCAACGTCCACTTAATACCATAATTCATGCATATTTGTGCTCAGCGTGAAAACTATCACATCATGTTTCGATAGTACCAAGTCTAGCGCTTTCCAGCTAAAATGTCTACCTGTGATAATCGAGTTGCAAAGTTCAATGTTCGCTCAATGCCAAGGTTCCCGTGGAGGTCGCCATGTTTGATTTGAGTGTGTTTGTGTCACGACCTCTGATTGGACAACGCTTTTGTTTACATGTCTGTGGTAAAAGGAGATAATGTACCTTTAAGTTCGGGAATTTCAGACTAATCTAGCAACGGCTATGCTATTACATGGGAATGGTTCTTTTATAACATATTAGGAGGAAGTGGACTTTAACCACTATACTACTACATGGGTTTATTATGTCTATTTTGCTAGAAACGTTGATGACTTTGGGATGTAGACATGGGTGATACTTTATTAGAAAAATTTTGTCGATGGTGTGGCTGCTGTCGGTTAGAATTGGCCATTTTCTCTGCGAATTGAAACTGCTGTGGGTTTCTAGACGGCCGAACTACTCTTGAATTTGGTGGAGGCTGTTTCTTGCTGCAACACTTCACAAACCAAGCCTAGAAAATGAAAATACAACAAATATGAATGCCGTTTTGCGTTGGCATTTAACCCCGCAAAATCCCCAAAAGGTCACTATACGAATATTTCTGGTGACTCCAAAATGACGATTTAACGAATGAGTATGTTTCAATTCGAAGAATGCTACAGATATGACGTTGCCAATGCACACTAATAGGGCGTTTATCATTAAAAAAACCAACAACAACAACAAACGGCTTACCAGTAACAGTAAGACACCAAATACTATCAGAGCAGCTGCCCACCAATAGGTTTTTAACCATTGCTCTATCTCTTTACCTGACAAATTAAGCCAGTTGGCTAATTCGTTTAAAAATCCACTTGGATCAACCTAAATCAGAGAATATAGTAAGATGCTCTTATATGGATACAAAAGTACTTTAGAGCTTGAAATCCGTATAGTTAAATATCTCGGGGTCACCAATTTCAACTGTGCCCCTTTACTGGAATGTATTTTGTCGTTAAAACGGAAAGTTTATTGGTTTAGTCTCAATATCAATGATGTTATTGTTATCATAAAGTTAAATTTATAGCCTAACGGCTTTGTACACATGATCATTCTAGATATTGAATACAGTATATTTAAATTATGACAATCAACTTACCTCTCTACATTTATTAAAGACGTCACAATATCCCTGATTATCATTGCATGGACTACCTGATACCATCGTCATATTAGGTACAGTATCAGTCTGGTAACTACTCCTATAAAATACACACATATTAGATACATTATCAATCTCATTGCTAGAAAAAGAAACATTTACCACATGCCAGGTTTCCAATGTCCGGGACACGTTACGATGCGATTGTCCCTATTGAGTCCATGAGATGCGTTCGGATACGTTTCGATACCATCAACACGGTGGCTACGACTGACCTCAACAAGACCTGATAGGATCACCACGATTACTCCACGTTTAAAACCACGATTTCAATCGTAGCACTAATCATGATAGTGGGAACCTAGCATTAGCAATTGTCATCGGTACATATTACTGAAGCAACGTTTATGGGCATTGTAACACCAGAAAGCAGTAATGGTCGATTCTCACGAGCTCACTTATCACCTACTCAACATCATGAGTTCCAACATTCATATCAAAAGGTGCAGTATTGGTTGATCGAGAAAGGGTAAGCATAACTCATCACATGTACACGACACGCGCCTGGCTGTAACGTCAGCGATGGTTTCAGAACCACACCCAAAATAACAATTACAATTATTTTATAAGTGAGAATTGTATCAACATACTTGCATATTCCATCAACCGTACAACAGACTGCACATAATAGTTCATCATTCCAATCACCTGGCACGGTAGGTTTACATTGACAGGGTTGATAATCATATGCCAAACATATAGATCCACTACACTCCTAAATCAAGGGAAACAAAACAAAATATGCAGCAGATAAATAAATTTATGCGAGTGGAATTTGGTTACCATCTGGCTTATTCAAATAGAATGTGATATTAAAGTATTATTTGCTGACTTATGTTTTAAATCGTCCAGTCATGGAATATTTCCTTGATTACCTCCCTTGTTGCATACACTGGGATATCAGAAGTTCAAGAACAATCTATTTCACAGAGGTATTTCGAAGACTAATAGCTCTGTAAAAGATGACCGCGGTGTCAATCATTGGCTTAATGGCGCGTGCTTTGTTTACATAAGACGCTTCTAGTCCGGGCAGAATGGTGCTTTTTACTCATTTTACATACCCATTTACACGAAATAAGAAATATTTTTTTTTACCTACATATACTTGAAACATGTTTATTTATTTTTCTAATGCTTAATAAAAATGTGCTAGAATTTAATTTGCAGAAGGAAAAGAGTTAATATTTGGGGCTCATTAAGTCGCATCGATGTCATCCCCATCAGTGACTAGCGGATTAGCGAATATTCACTGCTGATCAGTGTGGTTCAAGAAGTTTTGTCTGCGATATCATAATCGGTGGAAACGGGGTCTAAGCCCAGCGAACGTCTTATAGGCGTTGGATTTATGTTAGATTATTTGAATACATAAGTTAAAGTTCCGTACTGGAATATTTTCTTGAATTCACCACGGCACCTCCCAGGAAAAACGTTTATTGATTCAATATATTGGACTAAAGATTACTTACTCCGTCCAGACAGACTTTACTGCCTTCACAGATTGTTTTATTGGGTAAGTTCTGTGGTGCTGGACAAGTAGCATTATTTTCATCAGTAAATATTGTTAAGATTTATATAAGTTGAAACATTTATTACATTTTGATAAAAAAAAATGAACGTATTCCACAAGAATAGTTTGTACAAGCGGATTCCACGTGGTGGCGAGTTGATATCATCAAAGTCTAGAGATTCGTGATGTGATTATTTAACATTTAATTTTTTTAAAATTATGGTTATTTAGCTCGGTCACCCAGAACCTCATAGTCTTCATATAGACTATTTATCTCTGTGTGTGTGGGTGGGGGGGTATACAGGTACTGCGAAGATGAAGCGTGGATGCAGTTACTAAAGGGTAGCCGGGATGAAGAACAAACTTCTATCCTTGACAGCCAGCCCTGCCAAGTAGGATTCGGGGTCTCAGTTTGACTTTTCATCCAGTTTGGTTAAGAACCTTACACAATAAGGTTTTATTTTTGCAGGTAAAATGATAGGTCTGCGTAATGTACAGCAAAGAAGTGAGTTGGCCTAATAATAATGAGAACAAAAATATTATATGTATATATATATATTAAATAAATGACAAATATACTCTTCAAAAAAAGTAGGGGATATTGAAATGCAAATACCTATGCAGGTTGTGATATGATAAAAAGTCATGGACACATGTTTTGAGAGTATGTTCACAGATAAAGACCTTATCGCCCCAACAGAACCACTGAGCTGCACCTGCGACACGCAATAGCGCCATACACGTGGGAGGGGTTCATTGTCAAATTTGACACTTCAAGGAAGGGTTGATGAAAACTGCCGCGTGCTGGTTTATCCTATCCATGTTTGCTTTAGCGTATCTTTACTTTAGTGTGTTACGTTTAATTTGCAATGAGACGTCTTCAACATGATAAACGTCTACGTGCTATTGGCATGCTTCAAATGGGTTCTACACAGCCAGCATAGCCAACATGCTTAATGTGCCACAGTCTGTGATCAGCAGACTGTGGAACCGGTACCAACAAACACACAATGCTGATGATAGACCTCGTTCAGGTCGTCCTAGAGCCACTATACAAGCCCAGGATCGATAAAGTTCGTAGACAGATCCTGCGAAATCGACGACAAACGGCCAATCAGCTTTCTGTAAACTCGTACCAAGTTACAGGAATTCGAGTTACACCCCAAACGATTAGAAATCGGCTACATGCAGCCCATTTCCATGCGCAACGACCGCGTGTTGTGCCGCCATTAACTCGCCAGCACATGGCGTCAATGATGTAGGCAGCGTAGAAATTGAGGTAATCACCTCCATTAACTCGCGTTTGAAGGCGTGTAAATGAGCGTCATACTAACGTTAACTTCGGACAGCATGACAGATTCGGGCGTGGGTCTGTTATGGTGCCGGGAGGAATCACCATGACTGACAGAACGGACTTGCATATTGTTCAAGGAAGGGTCACTGGTGTGTACTACCGTGAACCCCATCCTGACACTGATAGTTCTGCCCTTTGCTCGACGTGCAGGTCGACGTTTCATCTTTCAAGATGATAATGCCCGTGCCAGATTGCCCCAAATCGTGATTGGACGGTTGATTAGGAGCATGCCACGACAAAAATCAAAAACGTCCATTTTCATTTTTGACAGTGTATCACTTTGCGAGTAAAATGGGGCCGTCAGATAAGCCGCCCATATGAACTGTTTATGTTCATGTGTAGGCAATTGGCCTGTTATTAACATACACTGGTTACCTCTAATAAAAACAGCAGTTCATTTCCGCAGTTTTGTATTGTTTTCGAATATCCCCTACTTTTTTAAGAGTATATAATACCAAATCAAAGGTTTGTGCTAAAAAAGACGTTATTAAAATGCACTGGGATGTGATAAAGCTGGTATATGATACATAACCGCCAGAAGTTGCAAATAGTTCCATGCGCCCGGAACCGGACCAAAAAAAAGGTACTGGGTCAAACCAGGGTTGGCTTGAATATCGTTCCGGTTGTGAGTTTATTAAAGGATATGTACAAACTGATTTCATCTGACAGGATGTATTTTGTTGACAAACATAGTTATCTGATAAAGTAATTAGCTGACAGGAAGAACTACAGCAAGAACCTTGACTGGGACTGGAAAATAGTTTTAAAAAAAAATAAAAAAATAAAAAAATATTATAAGAATTGTAATCCTAACTAACAACACACAATGTTCAGATGAATTCTTCCAATTAATTCATATCTGGTTGAATATATAGAGTGAGTGATAATTTATGTTACTTAGAAGATTTATAGGCAAACTCATATCTAAAATCAATCTTAAAAACCTTTGTTTGTTATAAATTGAAGATATTATATTTACCTACAAGTTGCATTTGGTTTAAGTGTACAAGGCGTGGCGGGTATATTATTATTACTATATTGAGGATTACAGCATGTTTCTGCACATTCATCTTCCCAACCACAATCACATTCTTCACCAGGTTCTACTACTTTATTACCACAGTTAGATTGACTAGAATCTGATTTTTTTAAAACAAAGGGAATAGAGGAATATACACAGAATTTAAGCAATCCGTATAGCATTAAAATTTCGAAGGACTAAATTAGTTTCCCGGTAGAAGATTAAAACGGTGATCTGGTGTGGGAAACCAAAGAGCGGTAAACAAGCTAATTTTTTGACCACACAAATCTATGTTCTTTACTCACTCCCTTAAGAGTAACAACAAAACACATACTTATGGAAATTAAGGCGACGTTTCGTAGAGTATTCTCTCAACGTTATCAAGCTAATACAGTAAAACAGGTATGAGGCAAATATATATAGACAAAATACAACAACATAACCGAAACTATACATAGCAACAACATGATCAAAGGCCTACACCAACACTTATTAAGATATACAATAGCAGATAGAGAGTTAATTAACTTATAGTCCATGGCCAGTGAGGATGTCTTAACAACAAGAATGGAAACCATACCTTAAACCAATTATATCAAAGAGTTGTGACACAATTTGGTAACAATATACAAAAGTAAGAAAAGAAACCGCTATGTTAAACGATCAATAAGCTGACTAAGTAGTTGCGATATTAACCGAATATGGGAGGTGATTGTTATTATAGTTAAGACAATAAATTAAGGCAATAGAGTATATACAACAGATAAATGTAACATGATGAAGGGTAGATTAAATATAACTGTTATTTCATTGCACATGTCTATTAACACTTGTAATTTTATGATAGGATAATTGGATATGCAATAGAGATATAGATTTAATGTAAAAACAAAAACAACTTAAAACAATGAATATAGCACGATAGTAAATACAATAACTAGTCAAAAGATAACACACAGCACACTTGTACAGTTTATAAGGAGTGGTGGAACCATGCTATTATTTTAAATTAGTTGATCATACGCATTGGGCAAGAATATCCCTGTATCACGGTTAAGATCTGGGCTGTTCCTTCTGATTTGTATTGCCTCCATTATCTTCCGTGTCTTTTCTATTGGGAGATTAGATGCCAGGGTTTCGTATGACTCGATTCTGAGTCCAAGGTTGGTCTGGAGATGTTGTTCAATCTTTTCAACTCGACCCCTTAATAAGACGCTTTACCATTGTATTTTAAAGAGTAACCGACAGTTGGTAAAATAAGACAACTCTATATTTTTCACCGTGATTCTTCTTTGATCGTCAAAAGGAATCATTTCTTCCGACACAAATTTATAAAAATCCAGCACTATTTTCATGTAGAATTGCGTGATGCAAAAACAAAAACAACTTTCATTTGAATTGGTCGCCATTATCAAACTCACGCTCAACCAATATTCCAAATTTAGGAATGGAATTTTACCGTTAGTTTGATAATGGCGACCAATTCAAATGAAAGTTGTTTTTGTTTTTGTATCGCACAATTCTACATGAACATAGCGTTGGATTTTTATAAATTTGTGTCGGATGTGGCAAGAAATGATTCCTTTTGGCGATCAAAGAAGAATCACGGTGAAAAATAGACGGTAAGGATTCCAAAATAGCCTTAGAACCAATATGGGGGAAAAGCCTTATTTTCATATTAGTTGTATAGACAGCGCGACAGTAACGTAGTAGAGAGCCGAGCCGATACGTATACGTTACTAAAGTAACGAGGTATTGCCTAGGTCATTGGCTGCATTGATGACCAGCGACACAAGATTTGAATTATGAAATACAAGAACAACCTTTTAAAATGACTTTTTTTTATAGGTTGACACTTTTTCTTGCTCCAAATTTTACATCCATAAACCAATGTTGAAATATAATCGATTGTGTGTTCCTATGTCGACAAAAATGAAACTTATCGATCGAATTATGTGTTTTCATTGTCTTATCCCTACGCATAAATATTTTAGTTTGACCTATATCAAAGAGGTTTAAAGCTACGTTCCCAGAAAAGTATTTATCGGGTGTTTATTTCCAATAAAAGTATGACAATTGTGGTATATATGGAAAGATGAAATATCCAGTCTTACTAGAAAAATACTGGATTCCATGAAAAACACTCATGGAGCGCATACAGGACAAAAATGTAAAGTTTTCCCTAATTGACAGCCCGACGATTAGGAGTGTCTGCACGCGTGACGTCGAAGGTTGCACGCGGAGATTGAGCGCTTGATGTACATTTTGATAAACTTTATGAAGAATTAGACGTACAACACTTTCTGAGACGCGGAAAAAGACGCGGACAGTGTATAATCCGAAAATTTAATTAGGCTTCGATATTTGTAATAAATAGTCAGCGATTAAAGACAACAACGTCTTGTGTATGCAATGAATTCTCCTCCGACTGCGCTTGCGTTGCTAGGTACTGAGAGAGGTATGTCACGTGACACAAACATGACCTCTTTTGATCGATTTTTTATAGCCAGGGTATTCCCCGACACTTGCAATGTTTTGAGAAGGATTTGAAGCAAAATTATGATAAATTAATTAGTTTGAATATGTTTTTAGTCCAAATATATCATCAAATCACCCAGTTTGTACCCGGGAATGTATCTTTAACTCCTTAAAATTATTGATCCCACCGTGTCTTCTAATAACCCACCAATCTCTCGTTATTTGGGTGGGTCCCCAAAACAAATGGATTAATTCTTACCTTTAAAACAGCCAACAGAACTACTACCCCTAGTTTGTATTATAGGTCCCATCTGTGATATACTACACGGTGAAAACTTTAAATTATTATTCTCTTCTCCTGTTGTAGCTTTAGGATACATTAGATAATTACCACTACTGCCGCCAGGTGTACATGTTATATTTTCAGGATCATGCTTAAAAACCAAAAGAACCAATTGAAACTGTGAAAGAGCTGATCGAGTGAGATGACACCTCACCGGCCACCGCTTTGTATCTGATTCGTACATTATTGTTTTATTAGATTTATGTCGGAATGACCATTGCTATAGCCAGTGGTACGGTATTCCCTTAGGGGATTTTATTTGGGGGGGGGGGGCGTTTACTCACTATTTCAATTAATTCCGAACTTGCAATTCTCTAATATAGCGAAATTTTACGTCTTCAACAGAGGTAATGCTAGTCTATAAATTGTATATTATTGTGATTTAATAATATAAACAAAATCCTCGCAAGTATGGTGCTTTTAACCAAACAAATGCCCCCACCCCCAAACAAACCACACAAAAAATAACCACACACACTCTTTCAAATCCTTTCCTTCACGTCTATTTTTAGCACACCACAGACAACAATCGGCTAAAATGACCTACCTCCGATCCCATATTATGACCAATTTCATGAGCCAGAGTTAAATGACAAACAATGTTAGGTACAGTCTGTCCATAATTTAATGTTGTTACAAATCCTGTATTTAAACTTCTATATACACCATTGATTTCCTGAAAACAATTAGATTTAAATAGTATTCGATGTTCAGAAAGTTACTATGTTGACATCAAAACCGCAAAAGAGAATCATAACTGTTTATTTCTGGATTGTCATCATTAATGACCTATGACATCAAAAGTAACATTATGTTTGCAATGGCCAAGACGATAAACGCCAGTAGCGTAGCCGGTGGGGGGAATGCAAGTGGTGGGTACGCTCGGGCACGGGGAGATGCTCTAGAATAAGCACATACTGCTTCGTGCAAATATTCACAAACATGCCAAGGTAACGACAATAACGACAATTCCACTTTAAGACATTATACACAGTTAGTATACCAGGATATATTATTAGATGACAGACTGTGACATATTGAAATAAGACCTGACATGTTCTTGACAAAATATATCTCTCTTATGATATACAGCTATGATACACAAATTAAAGGTGAAAGATCACAACGGAATTACAAAATGGGGCCTAACAATAAATGACTAAAACCCCACATATTATAGCCTTTATACAACAAGAATTTATTACTATTTATGTACAAATCAATGAAGCGATATGTGTATATATATGTTTGAACTTATTAATTACACGAGATCTGGGACTGTCTAGTAATAGAAAATAGAAGATTATACATTTGGGAACAACTCTGAAACAAGCCTTTCCATTATTATAAAAATACCAATATGTATATGTATCGGAGTTAAGCTTGAAACTTCACAGCGTTTTAAATTTACGGATTAAAATATCTTGACAAAGTATAGCATATTTATTTAAAAACAGTATGACATTTGCGCCGGATATATCGTGCCACAGATTGGGTATTTTACAAAAATGAATTCAAAGTCCTTACCAGGTATTTCTCACATACTCCTCCAGCGGTATTTTCATCCAAAGAAGCCGTCCATGCCAAACCCAGAACGCCATCTCCAAAATCACGATGTGTTAAAATATAAGATAAACAAAACTGGTCATAATTTTCTTCAGAGTGTATCTCAAGAAATTTAGCGACATCAAAGTTTCCTATATATCTGATATAATTAGAATCTGTAATGTTGGTATAAACTTTTATTCTTTTAATTACAAATCTGATATTATCAGAAGACCCATCTTTGTCAAAATCTGAAATATATAGGGTTTTTATGATTATTGTCTACACCGTTTTAAATTTTGGTGGTATTCGCTTCAATCAATTACAAAATGAAATGAAAAATCTTTATAAACAGGGATTTATAACCTAGGCTATCCGACCAGTTTCTGTTCAAGATGTTCGTCATGAAAAACATTGGATTAATCCGATGTTATCTTCCCTACCAGTTTGATGTTTTAATTTAATCTAGACCTGTATCGGCTGCAGATTACTGGTCGCATATGATGATCAAGTGGTTATTCCGAGCTTGACGGAAATAACCGGACTGTATTAAATGATAGCATACAAGACTACAAATCCGAGACACAATGCTAAAACCATTTACTGTGTTTATAAATATCATTTTAATCCCAGAATCCCAGATAAATGAATTATAAAGGTGATACGGCATTGGGATTACTACCATCATTAAACATATTTTGTAGTTTTTCAACTCTCTGTCTTATAATATATATGTGATGTTACCTTTATGGTTTTTTATATCTTTGTCGAAAATGAATCAGTTGATAATTTAATTAAATGCATAAGGTGGGGGCTGGCAAAGGTTCCGAATTTACCTGATCCCTGTCAAATATTATGATGTTTTTGACAAAATGAGAAGAGTCGTGGCCTTAACCGGTTGCGTTTGATAAATGACGTACACCTCAATTTAAAGTCAAAAATGTATATAAACACAAATAGTGTTCAAATATCTGTTCAATGTATTAACTGTTATTTACCTATTCGCAGTCTCTACATATTGTATTAACTAATAAATTACCTATATAGAAACTGTTCATAGTCTGTACATATTATTGTATTAACAAATTACCTTTTATTGTACGAACTGACAACTTACCTATAACAGAATATATACTATTCACAGTCTGTACATATTGTACTATTTGATTTATCACTAAATCTGTACTAAAACCACCATACTTCTCATAAAAATCATAATCGGCCTTTATATATAATTCACATGTATTTTTAACTGTTGATCTTCGTTGTCTTGTATAGTGATTTTGAACATGTCTATGAACTCTTGATCTGTTCTTTAATACATTGCGTAATTTGTCAATATTAGTATTTCTGAACTTGGCCACATTAACATGAGAAGCTTTGTATATAACAGTATGAAAGTCAGGTTTATTTATAAAATATCTGGATGATGGTTCCAAAATGAAAGTTTCATTCAGTGTTAGAATTTTTCCTTCAAAAAAATTATCTGCTGTAAGTGTTCCATGGATCTTTGAATTTTCTACAAGAAAAAAAATTAAATATGCATGTCATTCAAGAATAATATACTCCTTTCTATTTGTAAATGTCGATGGATAATTTGGATATATACTATTCAAAAAAAGTAGGGGATATTTGATTTTGGGGGCATAATACTAAAATATGCAAATGACTACGAAAAAAGTCACTATAGAACCTAACAGAAGAAACATTTCCAGTTACATGTGACGCCCAAACGCACCAATAGCTACCGCATGGAATGCAGGTGATGCTTGGGATCATCATGGGGGTCCAACCCAAGATTTGCACGACCCTGACTTTGAATGTTACAGTCATTGTGGCATTGAATTCCAGGGTGGAAACATCAGTTTAATTGTTTTAGTGACCAGAAAACAAATTTTGATATGCGTCGGCTTACCCAAAATGAAAGGTTACGTGCCCTTGGCATGCTACAGATCGGCACAACACAGGCGGTTGTGGCGCGGACCATGAATGTTTCTCAGTCTGTCATAAGCAGGCTATGGTCCAGATACCGTGATACACAATCTGTACAGGACAGACCACGCTCAGGTCGACCAAGGGCGACAACTCAAGCCCAGGATCGATTTATCCGTACCTTGGCCTTGAGAAATCGTGTCATCACAGCAAATCAGAGTGGCCAGACGATTCGGAATCGACTGCATAGGGGTCACCTTCGCGCCCGACGTCCTCGCGTGATCCCTTGTTTGAGAGATCATCACATTCAGGCAAGACGTCGTTGGTGTAGGGATCGTCAACACTGGGATAATCGACGCTGGAGCAATGTGATGTTTTCAGATGAGTCAAGGTTCAGTGTTGATTTTTTGGACAGACGTAGGAGGGTGTGGCGTCGTCGAAACGAGCGCTTCCAAGACGTTAACGTCATCAGACATGATCGATTTGGGGGTGGTTCTGTTATGGTGTGGGGAGGCATCACTGTTGCTGGAAGAACGGCTTTACATGTTGTTGCAGGGCGTGTTACAGGCCAGTACTACCGGGACAACATCTTGGCAGTCCATGTTGTGCCGTTCGCACGACGTCATGGCCGCCGTTTCATCTTCCAGGATGACAACGCAAGATGTCACAGGGCCAGGATCGTTACAGGTTACCTCCAACAACAGAACATCACCACATTACCTTGGCCAGCACTGAGTCCCGACCTCTCCCCCATCGAGCATGTCTGGGACATGCTTGGACAGAGGTTACGTCAACGTCAACAACGTCCTGCCAATGTCCAAGAACTTGCTGCTGCGTTGCAACAGGAATGGGACAATCTGGACCAAAATGACCTTAGACGTCTCATTAGGAGTATGCCACGTCGGATCAATGCTTGTTTGGCAAACAGAGGAGGATTTACCCATTACTGACTTGGTTGTGATGCTGTGGTAACTTTGCTGTTTGACCCCGGGTATCATTTTACCCTTATAATGGTCAGTCTGTGCCTTACTTAGTCTAACGATCATTTGGAATAAATCGATGAATGTGAACTTCATTTCATTTTGTCATTTGTTTCTTCGTCAGTTTCATTAGGTGACTTTAATAACACTTAAAAATCAAATATCCCCTACTTTTTTTGAATAGTATATTTCATTTGGAATATTACATTTTAAAAATAATGAATGAATAAATGGATGAAATGTTGCTTAATGGCCTACTTATCTGCACCAATCGGGCAAATGAAGACGGACGATCATTTACGTGTACACCAACGTGCACTCGAGGCCTCGGTTTTTCGTCCCACTTGAACGACTAGGCATTGCTCTTTGTCTCGTCATCCGTCCTGCACTACTGACAAGAGGGTATACAACGTTGAAAAATACTGAGGAACCTACTCGTCTACCACCGGGATTGATCCCCGTGAGCACGCGTCTTATTCACTGAGCCACCGTGTCCGCTTATATATATTAAGACATTGAAAACCGCGTGTCGACTTAATAAGTATAAAGGATACACACTGCATATTATCATTTAATTTGATTTTCAAACTGATCTAATATTGATTTTTGCATTCATTTTTACCGCTTTATACTGAGAATAAATTGGCTATTATGGAACCTAGTCGTTTTTTTTAATTTTCGGACCAATTAAGCTTAATTGTCTAAAACTATTCAACTTTCAGAACAAACACAATCCGTGATTAATGGCATGCAGTGCTCATTACCCAGGTTCAACAATAACAAGCCTTTATAGAGGTTTGTGTTGCGAATAAATTTCTGTGAATATATCAGACGTTTGTATTGTGAATATACTGTGAACAGTTATTATAGATGGAATGGGTTCTGTAAAACTGAATTTACACTTAGCCCCGTCTGTAACTCTGAGATGTAAAACTGTGTACTGAATTTAAATCAAGTTTAAACTAAATACATTCCGGCAAACATAATTTTCATATAATACATAGATGTGTTAATCAGAGTTGCACGGTAGAGATAATCCCCATATTGTAACATCCGTAATAACGCAATAATCTTTATATTTCAGAAAAAAATAAAGAGTTTTCTTAAAGGTAATAAGGTGTAGCAGGTAGAGAATATGGTATGCCCTGGAATGTTTCCATTATAATGCAATGATCATTAATTGCACATTTCATCATTAAATGTCACACCAAATACAAATAAATTGCACCATTATATTTCGTGTAAAACAAACTGGTTATTATGAAGGTATTTTAAAATTTGTTTGGTTTCTTAAAGCAACACACCTACAAAGAATCAAACAAAATTTTCTTGTATATAACGGACATTTGCAAAGCTAGTATATAAAAGGCAATTAAACTAGATGAAAACTTATTCTTAAAAACATAATTAATTACACATTAATCTTCCAAATGATCAAGATCAATAGAAGAGAGTTCACAGCCCTGACCCATCCCCACTTCCTCGACACATCCACCTACTCACACGCAAAAACAGTAACGACAACTTAGTAAAGGATTATCAGAGACGTATCACTTATTATAGTGATGATACCGGCGCTCGAAACTCCAAAAAAAAAAAATCGAATGGTTATATTTGTAGTAGTTTTAAGGAGCTAGCATTTAGCAATCTTAATATTTAAGAGGTTTTGAATTGTTTAAGTAACAAAATTATGCTTTAAAAAGCCTTCAGTTTTCCTTAGTTAATCGATAACATATAAATAATAATAAATTTTGAAGCTTGGGTTTTCTACGAGGGTTGGTACCCGTGTGGTCTATTGTTAGCCACTGGATCTTCTAGCTATGACCAGTAGTATAGGTACAATTTTAGGTTGAGAAATTTGTGATATTGGTAGAATATGATTATAGAAATGTATTGTTTCTTAGATTTGCGAGCACAATTTTTCCAAAGATATTACTATAGCCTTAATTCCATTTTCATACCCATACAGTCGGTTAAGAACCAAACTTGTTATTGTTAATTGATATTGGCTATCGATCGCCAAATACAGTGGGGGTCCATAATTGCACTTTGGACAGAAACTGAATCAGCATCCCATTTATAAGCACAGTAAATATATTTTATTTTGTCTGTATGTTTATTTTCATAATTAAGAAGTTTGTTCATTCATTTTTTAAATATAAAAAGAACCCATTAGGCCTAAAAGTATTCTACATTTTCCGTCCGACTAAACACTTGATAAATATTGAATTTGCAAAGTAATAGTTTTTATATATCGAAAACTTGGTTTATTTAGCGGCTTATAGATATTGTTTAGTATTCTGCAGTGAATAAAAAGCAACTAAAAATGCTTAGAACAAGCCAGTGCGTAATAGGCAAACAATTGTAATGGGCAAAAATGCTACTAGGCTGTTTAGTATATATGCATTTTTTATGCTTACTTTGGAACAATTTCTATGGTAATGTGATAGTAAAAGCCCTATACAGGATTCCATTTTCTATTAAATATGCCTTAAAGTCTCTGTTCGTCATTTGATATTTTTTTAATCCCTTGTAAACTACAACATTGTGAAAGTTGGAGCTCAAACATGAATAAAATAAAACCAAGTACGAACAATCCAAACCATTAGACAAAATTCGAAGTCCTAACCGTTCAGTATTTACAAAGGTATGAGGAACTGAAATTTGTGGTGGACCTCTTCTTAATCCAAACGGCTGATATTTTGTTATTGTTTTCTTAATTACCCGTTAAATAATCAATCTGAGTATATTAACGTGTATCAGACATTGTCCGAAAAATAGAAATGATGACCAGCGTCTTGATGAAGACAATCGATGAGATGGATGCATTGAATTGAAATCAGATGCTTTGAATAGAAATCAGATGCTTTGAATAGAAATCAGATACTTTGAAAACAAATTAGATGCTTTGAATAAAGTTGACATATTTGAGAAACGTTATATTACCTTGATCTTGTAAGTGTCCTGTATAAATATTTGATTGATCATAACCCCATACACCATTACTTGTTTCTATCACAGGAGATTCACTAAATATTGTCGAATCTGGTCGCAGTCGTAGCTGTAAGGATCTGCAAAAAAGGAATATTCCGCATGTGTAAACGTAGATATTGCCTCAATCCAGATTATACCTTTTAGCCGATATATTATCGGCGATTAGAAATGAGACCCTGACTTTTAATTCATACTGATGAGCTGTCATTCATTTTAGTTTTTTGTCATGTACTGCAGTATTTACTGAACTCCTTAATCCAGATTAACTTTTTGTCGATATGTTATCGGCGATTAGAAATTCGACCCTGACCTTTACGCAGTCTTTATTTTTTCTCATCCTGTATTGCAGTATTTGCTGGGCTGCTCGACTGAAAAGCATTGTTCAATTTTATTGTATTTATGCATTTCATAATCAGTGGTGTGATTGGCCTTTAAGTAATAATAATGTCTGAAAAGTATTAGTAATTCAAATTTAATGTAAGGGCCTATTCTTTAAGTGTTTTAACGGTTTCATGTATTAAATAACTTTGTTTGGTGAACTGTATTATCTTGCAATAGTCCCAAACCGTTGAACCAGAAGTAAATGGGTATTCAGTAAGAAACTGTACTTTATATGATGGGTGTGACCTAACAAACATTTTAGTTTAACAAAACATATAAAATATGTTCCAGAAAGTAACAAGCTTTAAATATTTTATACATATTTTATAGATAAACACCGGTATAGGTATACTGAACAATTTTATAATAATTGTACGCCTTAAAAAAAGAACGTTCCGAACAGCTAATGTAATTCAATAGCAAACTTATTTGTGAAAAGGGAACTTTTTAGAAGGATGGCCCACTTTGAACCCGTCTGTGAAATTTTATATCACATCAGTTTGCTATGTTTCTAACAAATCAACATCGACACCCACCGAAGGGTGTTTCTTTACGAAATAAGGATGTGAAATTTTAAGCGCATGTAAAGAACAAACGCATAATACAATTTCCCACTCCGTCTTCTTCCTGGTGGTAAACCCAATTTGATTCAGAATTAGTAAATGACAAGAGAAAACCCGATTGTCTTAAATCAACATTGATGTAAATTATTTATGTTGTATATTCTTCATGTTAAAATCTTTGAAAGGATTTGTGGAAACTTGATATGTTCAGAAACAGGATACAGGATATGTAGATTTAAATAAAAAAATTTAAATAAAAAAATATATATACATTTATATACACCCTTATCTCAAATGTGCCCACAATATTAGTCTAAGAAATTATGCATTGCATAATCTTCAAAAAAAGTAGGGGATATTGAAATGCAAATACCTATGCAGGTTGTGATATGACATGGACATTTGACATGCTGTGAGAGTATGTTCACAGATGAAGAACTTATCGCCCCAACAGAACCACTGGACTGCACATGCGACACGCAATAGCGCCATACACGTGGAGGGGGGGGGGGTCATTGTCAAATTTGAAACTTCGAGGAAGGGTTGATGAAAACTGCAGCGTGCTTGTTTATCTATCCATGTTTGCTTTCCTATCGGTTCTTGCATAAGATTTACTGTTTAGCGGATCTTTGCTCTAGTGTGTTACGTTTAATTTGATCGGGAGACGTGTTCGTCGACGTCAACGTCAACCGACAACACTGCAAGAATTGGCCGTGGCACTGCAAGAGGAGTGGGTCAGATTGCCCCAAATCGTAATTGGATGGTTGATTAGGCGCATGCCACGACGAATTGCTGAATGTCTGAGGACTGGTGGAGCAATTACTCATTATAAAGACAAAAATCAAAAACGTCCATTTTCACTTTTGACGGTGCATCTCTTTGCGAGTGAAATGGGGCCGTCAGATAAGCCGCCCATATGAACTGTTTATGTTCATGTGTAGGCAATTGGGGTGTTATTAACATACACTGGTTACCTCTAATAAAAACAGCAGTGCATTTCTGCAGTTTTCTATTGTTTCTGAATATCCCCTACTTTTTTTGAAGAGTATATAATTCCGAGCTGGGAATACAAGTAGTCAATCAAAATATCTTTCTTTCGGTTTTAAAATTTCTTTCATACATTAATATACTTTATACACCGATAATTCATTAAATAATCAATTTACATTCTATAGATGAAAGTTAAATAATCAATATTTAATCGACAGATGAAAGCTAAATAATCAATATTAAATATATAAGAAATCCCAGTTATACTTGTTTTTACTCAAGGATATTACTCTTAATAACACTGCCGAGCAATTAAATAAATACTGTACAACTACTTTTCTGGAGATATATCTGTACATATTATAGCCATACGACCTGTATTTACCGAGTTGTTATGGTGTAAAATTCGTAGTTTTGATACTAAATTTGTAACCATACTATTATCAATTTCAACAGAAGTTTTCTAAATGTTTAGCGTCTGTCTCAACTACCACAATCCCGCCCAATTCTGCGCATAGAGAACTATCTACTTTAAGAATAGATCTCTGCCCTGAATGTTCGCCATATTAAAAAAAATGTATATATACTATTATGTAATGTGGTTTCTAATCGTTCATACACACAACGCCCAATTAAATGTTTTACGATTCAATTAAATGGAAGCAGAATAAACATTTCGCAAAGCTTCGTCTGAGAATAATGTTTTGATTGTATTCCAATAAAAACTGTATAGTGCACATTTCCATGTTAAAAGGTGACAATCGTTTGACAATAGTGTAATGGGGATATAATTCGTGCATTTATTCATTCGTTCCTTTATTAATTCATTCATTCATTTAATGTCCAATGTGTTGTTTTAATAACTTATTTAAATTTCAATACATTTCTTTTAATACCGATTATACCTGAAGCCATTAATCTTGTAACTTGGTAACCGATAATGGACAGCCAACTCATTTCATTAAAATAGTTCAGACTGTATGATAAGCTTAATCCGTATTATTTCTATTATATGTATTTATTGTCTTTAATGTTTTATGGTTACCTACGTTCGTTAACTGTGTATATTTAATTTAATCGTTAGACACGAGCTTTTTTAAATACCGAATTGTACATTCATTCAAGATTCTAGGTTTTATCCAGTTTCCAGGACAGTCACTCTGCCTTTTGGACGTGCTGTTCTGTGTATATGATATTTTATGTTTTCCGGTATTAAAGAGTTTAAAAGATAATTCCAGTGTGTATTTATTACCGAAGATTTACACCGAATCATTACCTCCCAAAAGCGTGAAGATCTAGAGAAATAGTTTGTAGCAGGGATCTCTTAGCTCTATGACGAGCATCATTCAGTTCAGCCCGGTCATAATTTACTCCTTCATAATGAGATATGAATTCATTTAATGGTAATCCTACAATATAAAAAGATATTGAGCATGATTTATGTTTAAGTTAGTGGGTAAACTATACATCATTATGATGGAATACAACAGGTTGTTATCCGGAAAAGAACGGAGCAGAATCGGGTTTAAAATCTGATCAACATACATGTAATAACTCAGTTATTTTGAAATACATCGATACAACTTATACTCACGGTGCATCACTTTATATAATATATATCTCACACATTCTTGGCTATTGCATGCAATGTAATACTTTTAGTAGAATTTTTGCTCGAGAAATAACATATTCGCATAATATGTGATATGTACTTAAAATACTTAAATCGACTTAGGGTTTAAATGACATATTTTGATATAAAAACACTTGTAGAGCCATAACATAACTGGTTCTATGTCAACAACATGTTAACAGATATCTCATGAGAATATTCTTCAGTAAAATTCCATTCCACTATATAAGGGTGGGTTGTCGACGTCATTGGGCTCAATTAACCAATCTCTATAATTATTTACATCATATTTGACCAATTGGATAATTGAATGTCCAAAACCAGTAGATACAAAATTAGGATACTGGTGAGAATTCGCCAGACTTCTATTAGGTTCCAGAGAGCTTACATCTGAGTTCCTAGACAGCCGCGAGGCTGGCTAGGGTAGAGCAATGGTTTTAGCTAGTATTGTTATCTATTATGCTTGTATACCTGTATTCAGCTATATATATATATATAAAATGTAGAAGCAAACTGTCGCATTGTTATTCCTGGTAAGACAAACGTCTTAAGAAACTGTAAGAAGTAAATACACAACGTGAAGCAGAAGTAAAGACAGCTAGAGACAAATTCTAGACGATCACAAGGCTACAGAAATATGTAGTAAGAAAAGATGCATGGGTCGTACGTAGGATGTGGCGACCGGTTCCCTTAATCAGCTATCCACGTCAGACAAAGGACCTATGGTGCTACAGCAACCCAATTATTTCTTCTACTGTTAATTTCATTAAAAATAGATGTATTTTCTCATGTGGTATAGTCACATGGAACCGGAATCTCCATCCAACCCAATCTATCAAAACTGAAATTACAAGCCAATACACGCATACACAAACATATATGCCAAAATATTTACCTTTTATAAGAATGCCTAAAATCAAGAATTGAAAAACTAAAATCAACCACCAAATAATCTTTCTTGTCATACTGCTGCCGTCTTTATGTAATCAATCTGATTGAATCAGCCACGTTCTATTGTGTTTAATTTATACCATCTCGTCTTCATTAATCTTTAAACCTTGTTGTTTTCATGAAGGAAATGCCATTGTGGTTCCTGCAGAAAACAATAATGGTTCTTTGTACACTGTAGTCACGGTAAGAGGTCTCATTTTATAATCTTATGTTTTTCGATACAATAGATAGATTCTTGAAGATTTTATATTATCTAAAGAGCTTTTTACCAGGTAAATTGATGCTACTCCACGGGTTGTTTTAGTTTCTTTGCTTGTCAATAGGATAATTGTTTGTAGTCTGCGTGTTTTTTCCACATAATGATACTGTGGTCATGGGCGTCACACATTGAGGGGGGGGGGGGGGTCCGACCCTAACTCCTATTTATTTACAAAACCTGTATAAAACCTGTACATATCCCAATATGCATACGGCACCCCCTGACTTAAACATGATAAACATTGTATTGGTGTGATGTTTTAGTTTAACCCCGTTAAATATCCCACACTCTCCCTATAGCGCTGCTTCCGGGCCTCCGGCGTCACAGATTGTCAACATTTTATATAATTTCATTTGCGGACCCCCCACCTCCACCCCTAATATATATTTCACGGCTACGCCTCTAACTGTGGTATTCCCTTATTTAGGAAACAATAATAGACCATTTTGGAAAAAAAACCTCATAATAATGTACAGGCCCCACAAGATTATTCAAATCGACCAGTCCTAATGGGGGTTATGAAACAGTGTTTAAGCTTCTACTTTCAAGCATCAACTGAACAAATAAAGTCGGACATAACATCGTTCGATGATGGAAATTTTGACCAGACAGTGGCGTTTCCGCACACTCTGGCAAAAGTTCTTTTTGGTATACACTAACATGAACATGGGACCTCGGTTATTTAGTCTACCCGAATTATTGTTAGACTTATACTGGTTCTTAATAATTATTGACCAATATCATTCAATCTCGTTCAAGGAGAGTTTTTAAAGATTAGATTTATCATCAAATAATGACATACCTTATAATGTTGCGAAATACAAAAGAGATTCACTCTATGTCGTCGTTCAACTTAATTTTCTTTTAGGGAAATACTAAATACAAACATTTCCTAGGAATGCTTCCTTCACAGTACTGTATTAACCATAATAAACACGTGCTTATGGCACCAAGGGAACGAGGGCAACGAGAAAATAGTTCCATAACTGATGTCTTCCGTCATGCTCCAGCCACAGTAGTGGAACGTTCTAAGGATTTTCTTTGAGCAAGTTTTGAGTACAAAAACGTTACTGTCCTATAACTCCCTTAATTTTCCATTACACTGACCACAAACTGTACTGCACATAGCTTAACATACTATTACCCAATTCCCACTGAAATAAAGTTGAAACCTTACAGCATATTTATAAGATTTGATAAAATCCAAAGGCTACGCGATATTTATGTCGTTTTTGAAATGGCCGCCGAACCAGAATTAGAACACGCAGGTGATTCCACGTCATCTCAAAAATGTAGAAAAGCTGTTCGGTGAGATAAGATTAAGATTTCAGTGTTCCACTCATCACTATTTGTAACATAATTACTTATTTCCATGCGAACTGTAATGATATGTGTTGAAAATTTTGCAATTGAAGCAATTTTCCCTACGCAAAACCTCGAAGATTGTATCAATTGTAGAGGTGGACAAGACAAGTACCACCTCTACAAATATTGCAGCTAGGCGGCACCACACGGGTTTGTATTTCATTGCAGAATTTAAAATGAAGTAACGGTTGCAAATGAATCACAAAAATGGTCCCACAATACATGATGATAAAAGCCATATATAAACTACAAGAATATTATTATTATTCTAGTACTGAAGTTGTTAATGATATATACTAAGCAGCAAAAGAAACGCCAGGTTGGTATATTACTCTGAATAGACGCATTGCATAAAATTTGCCAAATGGCGACACAGGCAATGGAGAACTGTTCTGTTCACAGATGAGAGTCGGTATTGCGTATCAACTGCAGATGGCAGGACCAGAATATGGCGTCGACGTAGCCAGCGTTATTCTGACCAATGTGTCATGGAACGAGACTTATAGGGAGGTCCAAGCATAATTGTTTGGGGTGGAATCGGCCTAAACCAAAGAGTGATCTTCCAGAATCTTGGTCCAGGGAGAGGAGGCGACATCCCAACAGTGCGCTTCATCAATCAAGCTCTAAGACCCCACGCCATACCACATCTCACACGTCATCGAAAAAACGTTTTCCAGCATGACAACGCCCGTGCCCACACCGCCAGTGTGTCAACGTTATGCACTGGTCAGCCCTTAGTCCGGACTTAAACCCGATTGAACACATTTGTGATGAAATTCAGAGGAGACTTAATAAAGTCATACCGAGAACACAGCCGATGGATTGCGCCATGGTTTTCTCAGTGTGGTTCCTGGTGCCAATGGCGATCATCAATCGTCTGGTCCACTCCATGTACAGACGCTGCGCTTCTGTTATTGACACTCGCGGTGGACACACCATATACTGATGTATAGACTGTGTACGGACTCGAAACCTTCTCGTAATGTCTTGGAATCGTGATGAATTAATCACTAATGTGTCAACATTCAGTTCGCAAAAAGTTGATTTGATCCATTTAGTAAGTCGTTTTCTAGAATGATTTGATTAAAGTGCCTCTCTGATTTTGAAATCGTACTGACGTTTTCTTTGTTTTTTTTCCTGTTTAGTATAACTTAAACATGGGAACATAATAAAATTAGAATCTGGGAACTGTCACAGGCAGCAACCCCAATGGACACGCTGCTCATGGTATCTATTTTGATGTAGCGACTAATTTCAGCATACATATAAGTTTGTCACCATTGCTTATGGCCTCTGCTTCATCATATACCAATTAATTGTCTCGAATTTCCTCTTAGTAAACATGATTATGATAATATTAATCTCTTGATAACTTTAATTAGATCTTAATACGATACTGTGTATAACCGAAACATAAAATTTTCTTTCGTTTTTATCTTTTATTAATCAAAACCCATTAGCTTTAAATTACCGTTTCTCTATTTGGTTTGCATTCACTGGAAGACAATGAAAGTTTTAACCAATCTGCTGTCTTCAGGGTTTTCCTGGTCAAACGTGTTTTAACAGAAAGGAGGCAACGATTGCTGAACGCATACGTGGGTGTTTTACATCATCCTTTGAGAAATAGTTAAAACAATGCTGTTATAGTATTTGCCTTTCGAAGTACATGTTCAATGAAAATGGACCATACCGGAAGAATAAATAATACAATCCTTCACAATCTCTATATATAATTTACTATTCAAAAATATATGATTTTAATGTTGATCAAGCGATACAAATCGTGGTTTTACACAGTTTTCTACACGGTTCTTTTGTTTTCCATTTTAAAACGCTTGTATTAGCGTTCATATTGACAATCATATGCGGACACAAGTTGCGTATTTTTATATCTGAAAATTCACAGCTCCGAATTAACCACTGTGGGGTTCCTGGGGCCTAAAGACTGAGGCGTTTAGTCATATCTACGAAGGCCGTAACATTACGACATAGTAACCGATCGGAGTTTATTTTTGTAGGGACCAAAACACGAAATATCGTAAGTAATGTATATACAGAAATGTACACACATTTGTAATAATTGTAACAGACTAATATCGACTACCCTAGGTTGATAAACATTACATGTCTTAACTATTGGCTGTTTGAAACCTACAATATTGGTTGTTTTAAAAAATACCCGTAAGAGAAATTATTGATTACTGTATTCGTATAGTTTATTTTATTTATTCCATACACGCAATGACGGTGTAAGTATACTTTGATAACAGTACATCATTATTGATACAGAAATCAAATTTATAGATTCATTTTCTAAGTTCCGGACGACCGTACAGTAGGTAATATCAATCCACAAGACAGACAAACCACCAACGAGGCAAATACATGGATCCATTTCAGAGTTTGATGAAATAGCTTATTAAACCGTAAATAAATGGATAAAGCGCACTTTTATTTTCAACAATACAGGGAACACAGAGAAAATGTCATTTGGATTGTAAAATTCAAATGCATGGCTATTTCACTGACCGGACATTTTCTTAAAATAAATTTCAAATTTTTTACCTGCATTTTGTTCAATTGTTAACAATATTTGTATATTCGTCGAGATAGTTCTGGGTAGCAAAGAGTAGTCGATGGGTTGGGCGACCGGGACAAGTACATCAAACTCAAAACCCGATTGAAAATATACAATGATTGAATGTGAAATAGATTATGAACAAATCCTGGAGGGCTATTGACAAATTCAAAATCCTTAATGCTTGTCTAAGGTACCAAGACTGGTGCATGTATATAACCCCCGGTCAATATGTTGCTACACAATAGGATACAGAACAGTTATCACAAAAAAGTCAATTCTATCACTACAATGTGCAAAATAAAAACAAATGTACCCGTATATAAATTGATCAGTTTTGGCGAACAGTTATCTTACTCTGTGTGTGGCTTTTTATTATCCTTTAATGTTAGTATCATTGACATAAAATAATACTGACATCGATCAAACCATATCGATAAAATTGATCATTACACAATCATCACGTTTTACCGGATGTTTGGGTAATGGTTGCTATGATGATCAACTATACTACTACAAGAGGTTTACGTCCGCTTCGATCAATAATTATGTACATTATGACAGTACTGTAACGCCTTGGGAGAAATATTTATTTAGGAGTTCAATTATCCGAGTTATCACAGTAATACATATCAAATGAAATCCTCAGTCTGACATCCCATTAAATATTGTTTTGATCAATGATTGGCATTTAAATTTGGACTGATATACCAAAATCTTTTTGCTGTACTTTTGCCTTTGGCATAAACCTGGATATCATGTAGAATGTCTGTTGGAATTCGAAGAAAAATGGGCGGAAACGCCATTCTCGGGGCAAGTGACATCTATTTCGTCAACTTCGATGTTTGTGTTTGTGTGCTTCCTGGCAGTGTTTTTCAACAAAAATTATTGGCATTTGAGACTTTTCACTTTTTTCTGTCATTTCATCTTGA